GCTTGGAAAAAAATAAGCATTTATAAATAAATATTCCCCAAACTCCTAGAAATGTAGGAACTGATACAAATGTTTTTCAAATTAACATGATTTTGATGCGACTTAGTTAAATAAGATTAATTTAATATTTTTGGTGTAATAAAACAACTGTATTCAGAGCTCTCATTATTAAATATAAAAAAACATAAATTTCTATTCTGCTTGAGTTCTAGTCAAATAAACTGATATTATGCTTGCTAGATACTTAACATCTTAAAGCTCATAGATTTTATTCTAATTAAGTTGTCATTCTTATGAAAAACAATATTTCAATAATACTTTTTACAGAAAATCTGCCTAATAATAGTTTCCAAAATACTTTTGGTCATTTTTAACCTTAAATTTAAGCTAACTAAAAGATTTGCATGAAACATCTAGATCATTTATAAATAAGATACAATACTAAAACATTAATTACCGGACATAAGTAATTCAAGTGTATATACTTTTGGCCTCCTATTTTTGTGGAGAGACTAAAGATATTTTGGCCCGTTAATAAACTTATTTTCTCTATCACACTGAGAAATTATACTATGAGGAAACACATTTCTCTAGATGTTGGGAGATCATATACTCGTACATTTTACATTTTTAAATCTATAGAATGCTAGTATGTGACAATTTAGAATTGTCTACTTTCTAGTTTACTCTGGAAAATAAAATTACTATTAAAATTATAATTAATATATATAAATACAATTACTAGAAATAATAGAATAACTAGAAACAACTCTATGTGAAGTATGCAAGAAAATTAGGGAAAGTTTTGCAAGTAGGTTGCATTTTTTATAAGAAAAACTATACAAAATATACAAATAAAAAGAGATACCTAATCTTCCCTGGGTTACATTTATATGGGTAAAATGTTATATATTCAGAAATTATATAAAAGTCCTGGAAATTTGTCCATGTCCTCCTTATCCACGGTATGTGCTGGTATGGTGTCGTGAGTCATATTTTCAGTGATTATTTTAAATGCTGTGTGCCACAGGCAAAATCGAACATCCTTGGCAGCTGTGGTATAATGAACTCTCATCAGATCTTTCCTCACAGCCATTCCATGCTCTTATCATTTAGATATTATTTCCCCCTGATGCTTTCATGAAAGCTCCTGCAATCAGCTACAGATCAGAATGTTTGTCTACAACACAGGACTCCCTCTGAGACTCATGGAAAACACTATGACAGGTACTCTGGCTACAGGCTTCTGATGATATTGCTTAAATAACTTTAAGAACATACACTTGATTCAGTGATGCCCTCCAGAAGTCTAGTTGAGAAATTGATGGGTTCATGAGCACTGCTAACACAAGATTCAGCAAGACTGGAATTGATTACGTGGTACTGAATGAATGGATAAAAACGGATTATAATTGTATAGCTTTTTTTGAGCATTGCCGGTTCTTTAATGTTCTGGTTTCTGGATTTAAGAAATCTCTGTCTCTTAAGCTAACTATAACTCACAAGAATTTAGGTTACACTTTTGTAAACAGAAATGAAGTATGTATCTTTTTTCCCCACCTGATTTCTCCAGAATTTTGAAATTCTTACTGAATACTCTTATTTTCATGACAATATAGTTGTTAGCAAAAGTCCAGTAAGAATCTGTTCACCCCAGAACCATAAGTAAGTGGAAACTTTGGTTATATTATCCAGGCTTTTACTGGGATATCATATTTAGAAATAGTGTGCCTAAGATTAGTTATGACCAGCAATTTTAAGAAGCTAATGTTGACGCTCAGGAGCCAATCCTTACAAAGCACTCTGATACTTAGATTACAAGGTTCATGGCCTTACTTAGTAAGGAAGGTCATTTTCTGGTAGGCCCAGGAATTTGGGGTATTTGGGGGACCTCGAGAAGAGAGGAATTCACACAAAGCTATAAGGACTGCAGCTGAAATTTGATAGCGTCTTAGCTTGGCTTTGAGCCTCAATAAGGCCTTTAAAGTCCAATCTGAAATTCTGTAATTTATTTTCCCAAAAAAGTAAACTGTGGAACCACAAGCCCTCCCTCAAAGACCAGTTCATTTATGCAACTCCAAGGACCAAAAGGAATAAGAGGTGAAAATCCTGAACTCATCCCATATCTGCCCTAGGGAAACCCATGATACCTGTCTAGAGGAAGGGAACAAGATGCTGGCCGGCCTATCAGGGGATTGCTTTCCATCCCAGCTTCATGGTCAGGAGCAAACATCATCAAGTTCTTTGCAGTGGGGACGAAGGAGAAGAGGGGCTGGCAACACCCTCCCGGAGACACTCTAGGATGCCACAGGAAAACAGATAGCACTCCCTCCAAGCCACCGTCAAGAACCACTGCCCTAGTCAGGGGCGAACCAGGAATTTAGGCAGGACCCAGCCTATCTAGGGTGGACCAACATAAATGCCATGACAAGGGAGCATCTGGAAGTCTGAAAATAACCAGAACAGAGAAAGAGAATAGAAGGAACAGTCAAGGTCACCATCATGTATCATCCATCTATGGCGGGCCTGGTACTCTGCTGAGTGATGGATACTTAGAATCTTATTTAAATCTCCCAACTGCACAGGAGTAAGAGCATCTGCTTTGGCAGGTGCCTGGCTTCAAACCCTCTCTCTGGTGGTATGATATTGAGCAAGCCATTTGACCTCTCTGAGCCTCAGTTTCCTTTCATGTAAAGCAGGGTAGTGGTTAGTAATACCAGAAGACAGACTTTACAAAATGAGTATCTTTCATATCATCATGAGGAAGAAATGAAATAATTGCAAGTGCTTCTCAAACTTTCCAGAGCATACAAATGACTCAGAGAATTTGATTAGATGCGTATTCTTGTTCATTCAATCAGAATCTCTAGGTAATTTGGAGTTTGGCCTGAGAGTCTACATTTCTTGCAAGCATCCAGGAAATGCTAATGCTGCTGGCCTAAGGGCCACATTTTGGGTAGTGAGGATATAAAACACTCATAACCTTCAGTGATTATTATTGGTATTAATATGCTAACATGATCTCCCTAGCAAGAGCAGCAGAGCTGGTAAGTGGCAGAACCAGGGTACAAATTCAGGACTAACTCTCCTTCTCTTCCTCCACTCTTATTTACCTCTCAAAAGGAGCCGGATATGGTTGGAACAGAGATAAGCCATTTCTGTTTCATTTCTTCAGTTATCTCCCTGCCCAGTGACTTCGTGTGACGTTTCAACCCTGATATCTCAAAGTCTCCAGAAAGTGCAGCAAAGACATTATGGATTCACTGCATCCTCCATCATATTCTTTCATACTGAGGACTTTCTGGGTTGCCCAGAAAACTTCTGTCAGCAAAGACAGATTCAATCAAAAAAATGAAAATTGAGGCTTAATACAGCCTGAGGATGAAAGTGATTAACTAGGAGAAGGGAGATTAACCCCCTGGGCCACATCTCAGGGACAAGCAGGGGCTGACTGTTCCATGTTCATTAGAATTAATTCACCACTGTCTTCCCTGGGAATCACAGGGAGGACGTTCTCTTCTAAGATTGAACAGGCCTGGAGACATGGGCGTGGGGCTTAACTCGCATTGCCTCTCAATGGAGGGTTGGACCTGAACAAGCCGATGTTGGGCTTTAGAGAGGGTTGGTAAGGTTGCCACGATGAGTCTGGCATTATTATTTTATACTTATACTTAGGGTACCTTAAAAATGCAAGAGTGCTTTGCATTTTTAAATTAGTTTATCTTAAAAACACCAGCGGTCATGGGAAAAGAAAGCAGAGATCAATTCTGAAAGAGAGAAAGAAGTGAGCAATCCTCCCATCCAAAACCTTGATGTCAGACACTTTAGAAATTGTGCATATTGGAGCTGGGTGTTGCTGCAGACACATGCGCAGCTAGTTGTGAAGGTTTGAGACCAAGTGATGTACTTCCAAGCACAGCTAGTTCAAAACTGCACTAACCATGGTTCTGACTGATAACAGGTGCTATTCTGTCCCAGGCACTGTGTTAAGCACTGTAAATGCATTGTCACAGTCATCTCTCCAATAATCTTATGGAAGATGGCTCTGTTCTCCCTTTTGTACCAAGAATTGGAGTGATGTTACTTCCCTAAGTTTTCATAGGCAGAGGCAGTGCTACAAACAAATATCCTTGTTTATGTGAATTGAATCATTTGGTAGAAACAAGAGATTCAGCCGCTCATCAGGGCACAGCATTTGAGCGAGAATACAAGACAAAAGAGTCTTGTTGTTATTTGCCAACATCAAAGCACTAGCGCCCCCAGCCTTTTCTAGTTATACAAACCACTCAACAGAATACATGTGAGCTTTACTTGTGGGCAGCATTCTGGGACTTCAAACCACTTCTTGATGTGGCTATTGTTCCTTAAGGCCCACATAAATCCCTGTGCAAAAATCGAGAAACAGAGACAGAAAGTGACTCACCTAAGGCTTGTCACTTGAAAGTGAGTGGCTGACTGACTGGAAGAGGGCTGGAAATCAAATCCAAACCTCCTAATTTCCACGGGTGCACTGCCAACCTGAGGCCCAATTTTACAGTTCAATGACATCAAGATAAATTTGTTATAACATACATGTACTGTGTTTTTAGGAGGGCTGGGGGTTATCCAAGGTTCTGAGTAACATGCTACCACAGGAAGAAGGAGGTGCTGGCCCAACCCTGGAGACAGACACAAAGACACACACATACACACACACACCCCACACACACACAGTCTAGACACACAACTGGTAGTGTGTCAGCCAAATACTTAGTAGTATGTGGAGGGCTTTGAACCCATCCATGCTTCAAAGAAAGAGACATTTTTCCCTGATTCACACGTCCATTCTCCCTCCTTCTCCCCCAGCCCTGCCTCCTCCTCAAGCCCACCCATTATTACATAGAACACAATTAGGCAGGGCTATCAGGTTAAAGCATTGTCAATGATGCTCTCATTAAAAACAACAGCACAGTCAAACAGAGAGCATGCTTGCATATGAAATGTGATTAATTCTTTCAGACATGGCTCAAGATGACTGGGGACACAACCAAGACAGCTGCTCTGCTCTGCACCGAGCCTACAACCTGCCTTCAGTCTTCCTCCTAGTGAGAGGAGTCTGGACTCCCATCCAGATTTCCGATCCTAAAATGATCGTTTCTTTTGCTACACTGCAGTTTGCCATTTCCATCTTTCAAATCCAGGAGTATCTTGAGAAAGTTCTGTTTTTCTGACATCTGTTCCACAAGAGCAGAGCTCATGAATGACGATGATTTAAATTCCCAAATCCCTGCTTGAGCATTCCTAACTGTCATGAGGTTGAGTATGGCTTTCTCATCACAAAACGAGTCATCTGAGCCTTTGAATCTTGCATAGGAATTGGAAGCCGGGGATAGACCAGGAGAGGTTGTCAGCACCAGCTGTGGCACTCACCCTCCAGTATGCTTGGCAGAGGTTGTGAAGCGGCTGTGGTACTGTGAATACCTGGGGAAGTATTTCTGTGACTGCTGCCACTCCTATGCGGAGTCCTGCATCCCTGCCCGGATCCTGATGATGTGGGACTTCAGGAAGTACTACGTCGGCAATTTCTCCAAACAGCTGCTCAACAGCATATGTCACGAGCCCATTTTCAATCTGCTGAGCATCGGCCAAAACCTGTATATGAAAGCCAAGGAGCTGGACAGAGTGAGGGTGAGCCGCAGCCCCAACACTGTCCCTCTCATTAGAAGTGTTCTGTGGTAGGAAATGCACATCACCCTAGGATAGGGAACCCATAGATACATCCTCTAAGAAGCAAATGGATCATAAAGTGAGTCAAGCGGCTGGGCATGGTGGCTGATGCCTGTAATCCCAGCACTTTGGGAGATCGGGAGTTTGAAATCAGCCTGGCCAACATGGTGAAATCTCATCTCTACTAGAAATTAAAAAAAAAAAAAAATTAGCCAGGTGTCGTGGCGCATGCCTGTAATTCCAGCTGCTTGGGAGGCTAAGGTAGGAGAATCACTTGAACCTGGGAGGTGGAGGTTGCAGTGAGCAGAGATCACGCCACTGCACTCCAGCATGGGTGACAGAGCAAGACCCTGTCTCAAAAAAAAAAAGAAAAAAGAGTGAGGATTATGTTTTGCAGCCCCTCTCCTGCGTATGCTGTTTCCAAGGCCCCACACTGATTCTTATACTTAGTATTATGTTTTTCTTTTTTGAGACAGTCTTAGTCTGTCACCCAGGCTGGAGCGCAGTGGTGCAATCTTGGCTCACTGCAACCTCCACCTCAAGGGTTCAATGGAGTCTCCTGCCTCAGTCTCCCAAGTGGCTGGGATTACAGGCACTTGCCACCACACCCAGTTAACTTTTGTGTTTTTAGTAGAGACAGGGTTTCATCAGGTTGGCCAGGCTAATCTCAAACTTCTGACCTCAGGTGATCCAAGTGACTCGGCCTACCTAAGTGCTGGGATTACAGGTGTGAGCCACCGCGCTGGCCAGTGTTACGTTTTTCTTGAAAAAGATCCCAAAGCTCTGTAAGTTTTAGGTTCCACAAAACCTGGATCCATCCAAAACACACTTTGTGGATCAATGGACTCAGTTGTGAAGGCTTGCTGTAAAGGCAATCTGGTTTCAAGGTTTGTTTTATACAAATGCAGCATTTCAAGGTTAAAAACAAGACTTGCACTTTTCCTGTGTCGTTTATTACATTTGACCTTCCCCCGTGTTTGGTTTGTCCCATGAGGAAATTCAGGAGCAGCTCTTCCCTATCAAGAAGCTGTTGAAGACCTGCAGGTTGGCTGACAGGTACTATTAGCAGCTGGAACAGGTTGCCTCCCTCCATACATCTGCTAATCCTATTAGTGCCTCCTGCACCTGGCGCCCCCATTACACAAAGCACCTTAGCACAGTGATGACCTCATGGCTTTCCTTGGGAAAACACACCATCTCCTTGAATTACTAAACCAATAGTGGAATGCATTAGTCTGTTCTCAAGTAGTTAATAAAGACATACTGGGTAATTTATAAAGGAAAGGGGTTTAATTGATTCACAGTTTCACGTAGCTGGGGTAGCCTCACAATCATGGTGGAAGGTGAATGAGTAGCAAAAGTGTGTCTTACATGGTGGCAGGCAAAGAGAGAGCATTTGCAGGGGAGCTCCCCATTATAAAACAATGAGATCGGCCGGGCGCGGTGGCTCACACCTGTAATCCAGCATTTTGGGAGGCCAAGGCAGGTGGATCACAAGGTCAAGAGATCAAGACCTTCCTGGCCAACATGGTGAGACCCCCATCTCTACTAAAAATACAAAAATTAGCTGGGCATGGTGGCGTGTGCCTGTAGTCCCAGCTACTCAGGAGGCTGAGGCAGGAGAACTGCTTGAACCCAGGAGGCAGAGGTTGCAGTGAGCTAAGATCATGCCCTGTACTCCAACCTGGTGACAGAGTGAGACTCCATCTCAGTAATAATAATAATTTTTAAAAAACCCATCAGCTCTTGTGAGACTTATTCATTAACCACAAGAACAGCACAGGAAAGACCTACCTCATGATTCAGTTACCTCCCACCAGGCTCCTTCCATCCCAATCCCAGCTACTTGGGAGGCTGAGGCAGGAGAATTGCTTGAACCTAGGAAGCAGAGGTTGCAAGAAGCCAAGATTCTGCCACTGCACTCCAGACTGAGCAACAGAGCAAGACTCTGCCTAAAAACAACCAAAAAACAAAAAAAGACTATAATTTAACTTAATCTCTGCCTATATCCATCGGTATGTCCCTAGGATAAACTTTTAAAGTAGAATTTATGAAGACCATGGTCCCACTTGGTTAGACATGCCTCCCTATAAGGGGTTTTAAAAGGCCTCTGATGGCTGGGCACAGTTGGCCTAACCATATAATGGAGAATTTAACTCATTAAGAAGAATGGTTTAGTTGGAGGATGAAACAACTCTTTTTATTATTGTTGTTGTTGTTGTTGTCATTAAATTGTGGTAAATACATTTAAAATTTACCCTCCTAACCATTTTTAATGTACACTTTGGTAACATGAAAGCATTAACATCATTGTGAAACCATCACTACCATCCAGCCCCCAAACTCTTTTTATCTTGCACAACTAATCATTTAACTCCCCATTCCCTCCTCCTCTTAGCCTAACTCCTGGCAGTCCCTACTCTACTTTCTGTCTCTATGATTTTTGCCTACTCAATTGCCTTATATAAGTGGAATCTTACAGTATTTTTCTTTTTGTGGCTGGCTTGTTTGACTTAGCATAACATCCTCAAGATTCATTCATGTTGTGGCATGTGTCCGAATTTCCTTTGCATGTATATACTGCATTTTGTTTATCCATCTATTCATCCATGGACACTAGGGTTGCTTCCCTCCTTGGCTATTGTGAATAAGGTGAATATGAACATGAGTATACCAGGGGCCTGTTTGTTTGTTTGTTTGTTCATTTGTTTAAACAGAGTCTCACTCTGTCGCCCAGGCTGGAGTGCAATGGAGTAATCCTGGCTCACTGCCACCTCTGCCTCCTGTATTTTTGGTAGAGATGGGATTTCACCATGTTGGTCAGGCTGGTCTTGAACTCCTGACCTCGTGATCCGCCGGCCTCAGCCTCCCAAAGTGCTGGGATTACAGGCATGAGCCACCGTGCCCAGCCACCAGAGGCCTTTTAAAACCCCTTATAGGGAGGCATGTCTAACCAAGTGGGACCATGGTCTTCATAAATTCTACTTTAAAAGTTTATCCTAGGGACATACCGATGGATATAGGCAGAGATTAAGTTAAAGTATAGTCTTTTTTTGTTTTTTGGTTGCTTTTAGGCAGAGTCTTGCTCTGTTGCTCAGTCTGGAGTGCAGTGGCAGAATCTTGGCTTCTTGCAACCTCTGCCTCCTAGGTTCAAGCAATTCTCCTGCCTCAGCCTCCCAAGTAGCTGGGATTACAGACATATGCCATTATACCTGGCTAATTTTTGTATTTTTCGTAAAGACAGTGTTTCACCCTGTTGGCCAGGCTGGTCTAGAACTCCCGACCTCCGGTGATCTGCCCGCTTCGGCCTCCCAGAGTGCTGGGATTACTAGTTTTATTTTACATAAGAAACAGTATTAAAAGTCTATTTAGAGGTATTATACTCACTCCCTGGGTGATGGTATCATACTTCAGTGTCGTACAATATACCTATGTAACAAACCTGTACACAGACCCCACCTGTACACAGACCCCCAAATCTAAAATAAAAGTTGAAAATATTTAAAAAATCTACTAGCTGTTCATAATAGGGCAGTCGTTACATTAATACCATGTCCATAGATTAGAACACTACACAACCAGTAAAGATTGAGGCATTGATTCATCGAGAGAGAGATTTTTAAGTGGAAAAGCACAGGTTACTCAAGGGAGTTAAGATTATTGTAGCTGATGGAATCATAGAGTTTTTAAATAAATGGTTTGGCTTTAAAGCATTTTTTTCAGTGTGTAATCTTTAATGATGAGGTATCTCTTTTTAATTACATTTTGGGAAGGAGAATGTATCCTATAGTCATCTGGCTTCATGGCCTTGGCATGGCCTTGGTCTCAGGGCCTCAGTCTTTTCATCCGTCACATGTAACAGTGCCTACGCTTCCTACCTTGTACACAAATTCTTTATATTTATTCTGTGCTTCAGATAAAAAAAACTGGTAGATCTGTGTTAAGTCCAGGGGGATGGTCAGCATGAACCGATCGTTGTTGGAATGCGTGTTAGACACACATCAGGGCGCCATGAGGGTACAAAGGGAGGCAGCGTTTATCTCACTTAGGAGTGAGGTGGGGTGGAGAGCAAGCCAGGATTCCAAGAGAAAAAGACTGAGCTTCAGGAGTAAGGGTGGAGCAAAGAAGAGGGACTGGGGACTCTCCAGTCAGAGGATACCACAGAAGTGGGCACCTCAGGCTGGGTGGAGAATTGGAGAGAATTTGGCATGAGTAGCATACCAAGTTCAGTGTAGACCACGGCTGTCTTAGAAGTGCAGGGAATAGTGCTTCTCCTAGCCATTTAGAGAATTCAGGTGGACACCTTCTTGGTTGGGAGAAGATTAAGTTTTGAATACCCTGGGGACCGTGACCACTGGAAGTTGGCTGCATGAGCCTTAAGCTCAGTGCCTGACTCGTGCATTTGGAAGTCATAGTCTTGCCCCATGAGTGAGAATTCTCCCAGCTGAGCCAACAGTTCATGAGGCTATTAGACTTGAAATGTAGCTGGAAGAAATAAGGTAGGAGTTTTGATGACTTGGTAAACGAAAGGTCCTAGGTACACGTTCTTTAAGACTTAAAAAACTAATGCTCGGTTTTCTTTTGCTCAGTGTCTGCATGGGATAGCTGTAAGAGATGCATGTCTCTGCTCATTTTCATGGAATTTTAACTTCCTGGCTTCCAAGCAAACTTGCAAAATGTAGAATGGTGGTGAGCATTGTTCCCAGTTGCTTTGGGGGCTATTGATTTTTTAAATTGAGTTTAAGAAATGAAGGGTGAGTGCCAAGAGAAAACAGCAGGCTCCATTCTTCCCCAGACTCTGCGTGGGTGGGTTTCTGAGTCCTTCTTTGTTTCCTCTCTGGCAGTGCATTAAAGGAGTTTGAACAGGTGCTGGGACACTTGGCTGATGAGCTCCACCTGTTCTCTCTCGAGGACCTGGTCAGGATCAAGAAAGGGCTGCTGGCACCCTTGCTCAAGGACATTCTGAAAGCTTCCCTCGCACACGTGGCCGGCTGTGAGGTGAGGGTGTGCCTAGAGCAGATGCATTCCTCATGCACCAGGGCCTGGGCTGTGTGTTCTGCACTTGACTTCATTTAACTCTCACAGGCCCTGAGGGAAGTGCCCATCACCTAGTTAGAGATGAGAAAACTGAGGTCAGAGCTGTGAAGTAACAGCTGAGACGCTCCTGCTGGTACGTGGCAGCGCTGGGATGCAAGCCTGGACCAAGGGACTTTTCATCTTGGTGCCCAGTTCTGCTCAGGGCCCATGCTGCCCTGGAGTGCCAAATACAGCCACGTGGAACCAGGAGTCAATGGAACAGGAAGCTCTGTGTCTACATGGATTGAAAATTGTAGTGCGGCAATGAGAAATGAAATTAGATCATTTCAGAGTGCACGTTTGCAATTGTGACATTTCTCCAGCACCTTAAAACTGCTTTGATGTGGAATTGGATGAATGTACATTTTTTTCTTTTTCTTGGCTCTGCTTCATTCATTGCTGCCAAACAACAGCATCCTTTTCTTTCTAGAGGCTGGAATCACAGACATTCAAAAACTGATGTTTATAAAGCTCTGTAATAATGAACAATCAGGAGAAAGTTGTGACTTTTTGATGTCTTCCTTTACAGCTGTGTCAAGGAAAGGGCTTTATTTGTGAATTTTGCCGGAATACGACTGTCATCTTCCCGTTTCAGATGGAAACATGTAGAAGATGTTCAGGTTTCTTAATAACCTAATAACAGGAGCTTAATAATAGCTTAATAATTATCTAAACTAAGTTTAGTAACTTAAGCACAGGCTCACGTCCGTAATCTCAGCACTTTGGGAGACCGAGGCGGGTGGATCACAAAGTCAGGAGATCAAGACCATCTTGGCCAACATAGTGAAATCGTGTCTCTACTAAAAACACAAAAATTAGCCAGGCATGGTGGTGGGCACCTGTAGTCCCAGCTACTTGGGAGGCTGAGAGGCAAGAGAATCGCTTGAACCCCGGAGGTGGAGGTTGCAGTGAGCCAAGATCGCGCCACTGCACTCCAGCCTGGTGACAGAGCAAGACTCTGTCTAAAAAAAAAGAAAAGAAAAAGAAAAAATATAACATCAGCACAATATTAAGCTGAATAATTTAAGCACTGTTACTTAAAGTGCAGTCATGCTGCTGTGTGCTTGTATGTTGGATTGGAGATAACGAAGTTTTGGGCACAGAAGGAGGAGTATTTGTGTAGGGCAGAGATAAAGGATGATGTCTCCTGGTGCAGAGTTTGAATAGTGGAAATGGTCCCTTAGTTGCCTCTACCCACCTCTCTGTCTTGTAACTGGATCAGTCATGCCCAGTGGTGAAGTCCCTGGCTGCTTTTGTGTCACAGAGGCAGAGTTGAGTAGCTACTGTAGAGAACACACGGCCCACACGGCCTAAAACATTGCTATCTGGCTCTTTACAGAAAACGTTGCCAACCCTTCTTCTACGGTATTGGTGCCTGAGAGAATCCCGTGTTCCGTAAACTCTGTTTCATGGGAGAGATCCTGGTAACAAACTCTACCTTCGCCCTTGAAAGGAGGATGTCCTCCTCTCAGGCCACTCCAGTATTTTCTCTGCTAACCCCGTCCAGTGTTGCAGGATGACCTCCCCGGCAAAGAGACTCTGAGGCAGAGATTTGCATGAAAATAGTTTCATGTTCCTCAACTCAATACACCTGGGGTGTGCAGGCAGCAAGGCTGGGAGAGGGAGAAGTTGAATTGTACAGTGGTTACAATGGAGCCCTCAGCTCGTTTCACAGGGAGCTCTGGAGTTTGGTGGCCTTTCAGCATTGTTCCAAACTGGGGACAAATTGGGGCTAGCCTGCTCACTACATAGTGGCCAGTCATTGGATGCAGGCTGGTGCCAGGAAGGGGGTATAAGCTTGGATAAGGCAGCTCTCTCAATGTAGGGCCATTTCTAGAGAAACAATATGACTTCCCAAGAGTTATCAGCCACCAGCTCTCTCGGCAGCTGGGGAAGCACCTGCCTCAGTGCTTGGGCAGATCCAGGAGGCACTGCAGCATCCATTACATCAGGCTCTCTGAGCCTTCTGCTCATGACCTGTCGGGAGAGTAGTAATCCTGGTGAGTTTCAGCCTGGCTGATTGCTTTTTAGAATATTCTGGGTTCTGGATTCAGATCCCCTCCCTCCTTAGGATGTAGATAAGTGCTGCAGAGCCTGTTTGCTGGCGGCTGTCTTCCTGGCTTGCAGTGTGCAGGGCTTGCTTTCATGAACAGTGCTTCCGGTCCTCCGAGTGCCCCCCCGTGTGAGGATCACAGCTAGGAGGAAACTTCTGGAAAGTGTGCCCTCTGCAGCAACATGATGCCCCTGAGTATTGTGAAAAAGACTGTTCAACATGCCTTGTGATTACCCCAATTCATGTCTATTATTGGTGACATTGTTTTAGATACCAGGTATTCTCTATTAAGGAAAAAGATGGTCAATATTCTCTTTATTGTATATACTTAATATTTCAGAAGAATGCAGATTCTGTGATTAGGCACGGGATTAACAGTGGCTTTGTTTACAAACGCCACTATTGACTGCTCTTGGTTTTTCTAAGAGTTTTTGATACTTCTGTATTTGAATAGTTACGTTGAACTGATGTTGAGCCATTTTGTGTGTGTGTGTGTGTGTGTGTGTGAATTGTAACTAACAAGATGAATTACTCAATTTCTCCTCCTCTAAAACTTGTTTGATGAAACTGATTGGTACTTTCAGTGAACAAAAATATGACCCCAAATCTGTTTGCTCTGGCTTTTATTTTATTAGAGACAGACCTCGATTTAAATGCCATTTTGTGATTGTGTCGATCTTACACATTTTATTTACTCCAGAGTTTGAATAAAGAGTACACATTTCTTCTGCAGATTTATTTTGTGCTGAGTTTGAGTTGCTTAGCAGGGCGTGTAGGTCCAGTTGAAGTGCAGTTTGAAGCAGTTGCCTCTAGATGGCACTCTTTCAGATGGCACAAATTGAACCTGCATTTGTTGCTCTGTTCCACCCACTGCAGCGACAAGGGAGGCAGAAGTGAGAACTCCATCCCTGCCTTTGGGGATCTTGCTTTATACATGTAAAACTGAACATAAGGTATTTGCAGCTTTAAACAAACTGGGGAAAATACTCTTAATGAACAGCGTGGTTCTAGTGACAACATTAAAATCATAGACATTGACTCATAAGGTTAAATGAATCACAAAACCTTGATGAATTTCTTTTTCCTAATAGTTCTTAGATGTTTTCCTGAAACATGTGAGCCTATTTTTTTCTTCTACTTTCTATATACTTGCTCCTACTTGAGAAAGGGGCCTTGAGGCTGGGTTCCTTCATGTTATATCTTTAGACTGAACAGTTTTCAACCCAGGGTTTGGGTATTACATTCCCTGAGCTTCACATGCCGTAACTAAACCGACCTTGATTTTCTCAGACAGCACGGGCAGGCAACAGGGACACAGGGACAACAGGACAGGTTGTCCCCAACCCCATCCAGCCATGTGTACGTGTGTTTTATTCAGCGGGATAGTATTGAGCACAGGAAAGAAATGAATGACTTCCGTCAGTCTCTTTTCATTCAGTCTTTTCATTCTGACCATTGTTTTCTCATCCTCGATGTCTCTGCCAGAACTGTGCTCACATTCATTATTTAAGTCAGACCTTTTTTAAGTAATATAGACGTATAGGCACATAGAATAAATAGAACCAGATTCCAAACAATGTTTCAGTCTTGCCCATTGCTCATATTCTCTGTTAGGAATCAAGGGTGAGGGTGGTATGTTCACATACCTTTCTAAGGTAAACGTCTGTATCTCCATTTACAGGTAAGGAAATTGAGGCCTAGAGAAGAGAAATAACTTTCCTAGATTCCCACAGAGAGTGCGTGATGGAGGTGGGGTTGGCATTCAGTTCCACCTGCCTCCAAAGCCCATGCCGAGCCCCTGCTGCTTTTGTGATGTCTTTTTGAGACACAGGAGTAAAAACGACTTTAACTAGTAAGTGTTGCTCAAACCTGCAGAAGCAGCATTGGGCTGTTTTCTCACCTCAGTGTTGATTTAAGGCAGCTGCTGCAGCTCAAGCATTGCTTGAAGGGCTCTGTGCTCAGGGTGTCTGTTTGTAAGGCACTGGTGAGCATGAGTGTGTGTATGTGTGTTGCGTATCTTTGATATTAAAGAAGAGTGCACAGCAGTGGCCAGGAAGTGATGCTTTTGATTTTTTATTTTGAGGAAAAATGAGGTTATTTAAACAACTGCAGCATGCAATTTGTCTGAGACTTTGTTCCTCTCCAATGTGATAATAGAGGCTTCTTCCCAGGAAGGCACCTGTTGTGGAAGTGATCTTCAGCCCACGTATAGCACCCCATAGGGAAGTCATTAGTTGTGGCATATACAGCTCTTTAGTGGGTTTTCTTGATTGTATGGGTTTTGGGTTCAACTCTTCCTTGGCTGCAGGCAGGAAGGTGAGTGCTGGGTCAGGCCATCACCCACTGTGAGGCCTCAGTTGCTGTAAAGGTCAGTGATTCATTTTCTGCCTCTACACTCTTCGCATGGACAATTCCAGCCATGTGTCATTTACAGTCATGATTCTCAACTGCAGGGAGGAAGTTGCACCACCTGAAGGCAGAGCCTATAGGATGAGGAGGGGCAAGCTAGCAAGCTATCCCAAAGACGTTCTGGTGCGTTGACCTGGGTGAGAATTATCGGCCAGGACTTCAGATTAGATCCCAGATACACCACTTTCTGCCTACCCATGGTGACTCTGGCTGCTCTAGTTTGGTTTGTTTGACTCCTCCAAACCTCATGCTGAAATCTGAGACCCAGTGCTCAAGCTGGGCCTAAGAAGAGGTGTTTGAGTCAGGCGGGGGATCCCTCATGAATAACTGGGTGCTGTCTTTGCGGTAATGAGTGAGTTCTCACTCTTAGTTCCCGTGAGAGCTGGTTGTTATAAAGAGCCTGGCCCCTCCTGCCCTGTCTTTGCCTCCTCTCTTTCCATGAGGTCTCTGCACACTCAGGCTCCCCTTCCCCTCTGCTATGAAGCAGCTAGAAGTCCTCACAGAAGCAGATGTTGATGCCATGCTTATACAGCCTGCAGAACCATGAGCCAAATTAACCTCTTCTTTATAAATCACCCAGCCTCAGGTATTCCTTCACAGCATCACAAAGAGACTCAGAGACTGGAAAAGCCATTTAAATTATCTGAGCCTCCGTTTGTAAAATGAGGGGTATGACTCCATTCGGTTGAGATGAGGGTTAGAAATGAAAATGAAACACCCATTAGATATGAAAATGAGTCATACACCCTATTTTCTGTATCTCTGGGTAAGTTACTCTCTGGGTTTCATTTTAGTCTGTAACACGACTATTAGAACAATAGCTACTGCTGTGGGTTGAATTGTGTCCCATGAAAGGATATGTTAAACGTCTAACTCCAGGTGTCTGTGCTGTGACCTGTTTGGAACCAGGGTCTTTGCAAATGTGGTTTAGTTAGGACGAGGACATTCTGCATTAGGATGAGTTTTGATCTAGTGACTGGTGTCCTTATAATAAGAAAAGGGAAATTGAGAGCACAGAGAAGATACAGGGAACAGCAAAAGCAGGGGTTGGGGTGGTGCATCTACATGCTAAGAAGCATCAAGGATTGCTGGTGACCACCAGAAGCCGGAGAGAGGCAGGGGGCAGGTTCTTCCTCAGAGCCTTCAGAGAAAACCATCATGGCTGACCCTTTGATTTCAAACTTCTGGCATTGAGAATTATGAGAGAATAAATTCCTGTTCTTTATGTTTGTTTGTTTGTTTGTTTTTTGACATGGAGTCTTGCTCTGTCACCCAGGCTGGAGTGCAATGGTGCGATCTCGGCTGACTTCTACTTCTGCCTCCTGGGTTCAAGAGATTCTCCTGTCTCAGCCTCCTGAGTAGCCGGGATTACAGGCACACACCACCACGCCTGGTTAATTTTTGTAATTTTGAGACGGGGTTTCACGATGTTGGTCAGACTGGTCTCGAGCTCCTGACCTCAGGTGATCCACCTGCCTCGGCCTCCCAAAGTGCTGGGATTACAGGCGTGAGCCACCACACCCGGCCCTGTTGTTTTAAACCCCCAGACTGTGGTTATTTGTTGGAGACTTTGAAATTCAAACCTGCAGGAAGGAACATGGTAGACGTGTCACAGAGGGGTTTGGCACCCCAGGTCTGAGCCTGTGTGGCTGGCTTAGCATCCACCAGATGCCACCTGCACAGAGCTTTCCTGAAGTCATCGGCCAGGGAGGGTGAAGTAGAGAACGTCACTGTGTCATTTGTCAACCTGCTTTAGAAGCATGCTTCCTTAAACCAAGCATTTAAGGATCTCTGTCTTTAAATAACTCCTCAACTGGTTTGGGAAGGGAAACTGTTGTTCCCCTTTTTCACTTCACTAGAAACTAAAATAGTGCTTTTGTGAGTGATGCTGAGGTAGCACACACGATTGGGAAGCCTCAGCACAAACGGAGAAAATGGGAGTTTCTGCATTCTCGCATGTCTGGGCAGCTCTCCCAGCTGAGGGGACTGAGGATTAAAAAGCTTAACCAAATACATTAAGCAAATTGCGTATTTTTTCATTGCACTTCTTTTTTATTGAGACAGGGTCTATCTCTGTCACCCAGACTGGAATGCAGTGGGCATGATCTTGGCTCATTGCAACCTCCGCCTCCCAGGTTCAAGTGATTCTCCTGCCTCAGCCTCCCGAGTAGCTGGGACCACAGGCATGCACTACCACGTAAAGCTAATTTTTTTCTATTTTTGGCAGAGATGGGATTTCGCCATGTTGGCCAGGCTGGTCTCGAACTCCTGACCTTGTGATCTGCCTGCCTCAGCTTCCCAAAGTGCTGGGATTACAGGTGTGAGCCACTGCCCCCAGCCCTTCCTTGCACTTTTTCTGGCCTCTACCTCTGCTTCCAGCCTTCTCTCTCCCCAGGGCTGCCCCCTCTTTTCTCATCCTGCTGTGTTCCTGCCTTCATGGTAGAGTCCTCCATAAAAATAACATCAACTTTTCTAAGGGACTCCTTCCCATTTGATCGTTTGTCGTGGGGAGGAAAGGGTGATAGTTTTGGCCCATGGGTGATGAGAATGTAGAGGGAACAGTGAGTCAGGAAACCTACATGGAAAGCGTGGCTTAGACACTTTCAAGTGGGGTGACTTTGGACAGATCATATAATCTCTGCACCTGGGCTTCCTTATCTGGAGAGTGGTGCATAACACCTACCTTGCGAGGTGATTGTGTGCATCCAACAAGCTAATGGAAGTGAAATGCTGTAATGTGCAGCACACAGAGACGTAGCTCAGGACAGTTACTCTCTTCTGGTGCTAGTGCTAATGAAAACCTAACGCTGGTGGTTTCCATCCCCAGAGTGCGCGTCAGTTGCCATTGGATTTCCTCAGAGCCATCTCCCTACCAACCTTCTCTGGTTGTCAGAGTCCAGATTGGCCACATTTTGGCCGAGCTTCCCAAAGCCCCATCTTTGGATGAGAGAATTGGTGTGGGAGTGGCAGCCTAGTAGGGTTGCCAAACTGGGCAAACAAAAATACAGGCACCCAGTTAGACTGAACTTGAGACATACAAGTAAGTTTTGACTGTATATATGTCCTGTGTGATATGTACATGTTTCTTCCAACCCTGAGCTCTATAGAAAGCTGGTAGACACCTTTCCTGAGCTGTGACCATTCATGGTGGCCTGTAAGCTCATGTGACATTCTGACCATGTCCTGACCAGTCCCAGAGCACATGCCACTTTCTTGGCCAGTTATTTCCCCCCAGGGAGCTGCTCTTCGTGGCCATGGCCAACTGAAGATGCTGATAAGTGTGTATCCCCACAAAGCTCTCCTGGTACTGGAAGACTGACCACAATTTCCAGGTCTCCATCGCCCATCTTCCTGCATCTTCACTTCTTGGGTGATCTCATGTATCCAGCAATTCTTAGTTGAAGACAATTTAAAAATCTATCACTGACCATCAGCCTTGCTCGGGAAGCAAAGGTATGAACCTGACCCAGTGCCTACTCGAGAACCTTGCAGCCTCCAAAACTGACAGTATTAAACAGTCAGAATCACCTTCTGATTCCAGTTTCTCCTCAGGCTCTGACTTGGTTCTAAAGCATGACCTATAAAAATGCTACAGTAAGTAGTCTTCCTCACACCATGGGGGCAGGAGCGTGGGTCAGGCTGCATACCACAAATGCCACCAGACCCTCCCATTCCCTTGCGAGTAGTCCTAGGACCCCCTGGAAAAGTCTCCCAAAGGTGCATGCTAGGGAACACTCTCCATATGCATATATATTACAAACACAAACACAGGCAGAATTTACTGCCTTTTTCTGACCAAACCTGATTCCAATTAGGTTAACTTCCTCTGTTAACTACCTCCTCTCCTCCCCCACCTGAAGCTGATGACCATACGCCATGTTGTCTCTGCTCTAGTGTCCAGATGTCCAAAGCGTAGGGCAGGGCTGAGCCGATGCCCCATGCCAGGCCCCTGCCCCTGGCCCCTCCAGCCAGATGGGTCCATGTGGGTCCATGTGGGATTTCAGTAGCTGCTCCCTTCCAGTTCCCTACAGAGGAAGAAAAAAGGCAGAAAAGGGAGGCAGGGTTAATATGATGCAGTCAGTAACAGCACCTCCACTGACATTCCTGCTCCCAAAGTTTTGTTGCTGATGTTTCCTCCCTCGTCCTTTCTGTCCTTGTAAGTTTATGTCTATGAAAGAGTTCCTTCATTGTTGTTTTTGAGCAGTCTTTCTACCGTTGCTTTGGAGGGACTTTAGCAGTACGCAAAAGTAAACGTATGTCCAGGCTGCCAGTTTTATAGGAAGCTCCAGCTCACAGTCTTTTAATTTCATTGTGGTTAAGCTTACACTCGTAACCGTTGCACTATGCCTCACCTCTATGTTTCACTGTCTCAGAAGCACTTTTGACAGGGGACTACTATGTTTGTGCCTTTAGAAAGTTAACTCCAGAAGATGGAGATAGAATCGTGGTAGTGAGGCTGCTCTGAGGATAGTATTTACAAAACCCCATTACAAGAAGGACCGCTGTGGACTCTCACCTCACTGGGAGCGTCACTCAGTGCTGGGGGCTATAAGTTCTAAAGTTGGATGAAGAATTACTCACTAGAAAGTTACCCTTTAAAACCTCTTAAGCAGCTGCCTCATGGGAGATAAACATAAGGAGGCTTAATAAGTCCAGCAAAGTGAGGCTGTTCCTTACTTCGGAGTAGATTGCTGTTTTAACACTTGAACAACAGAAAAAGTGGTTGGCTTGCATTTGTTGAATTTAAAAAAACTGTCTTCAGATATTATTTTCTTGCTCATGGCGGCATTGTACATGCCATGGGGACCAAGAACCCCCCAGGGGACCACATGCTCTTGTCTGCCTCTTCCCACAGCACAGCCTCCTTTCCTTTTTGTGTGTCTTTTAACCATCTCCTTTTTTTCCTGCAAGGTTTTGATTAAATTGTGGTTAACTCAAATATGCAGATGATGAGATTGTAGTGCAGTAATGAGAAAGGAAGCCAGATTGCTGCGGTGAGGATAAAATGGTTTTGTACCTACGTAAATCGTGGCTATTTGAAAAATGTTCCTCAATTCTTTCTCCTCCTAGTGTTTGTTCCAAACTTACCTGCAGATTTTTCTCTGACATTTTTACTTTACAATATTGATGGGGGGTGAAGTGAATGATTGTTTCCCCCCTGCCAAGCATCTAAATTCCCTTCCTACTTTTGGGAAATTTCAATCTGGTGATTCTTGCTGGGAGCCAAAACCACGTCTTGCCATAAATGCAAAAATTTCCAGTCTTCTTCCTTCTCTGACCTTTTCTTGCAGCCAGGGGACTGGCAGGTGACCCAGGAACCACAGATTGGATGCATCCCAGCAGTTCTGAAATCAGGATCTTGTGACACAGAAAGGCGGGGCTGAGGAGCACCCATTCCAGGGGCACAGCCTTGGTCGAATTGTGCCTGAGGTCTGGCAACTGTAGGCTCCTCATTTCAGATTCTTTCCAAGCATGGCTCTTTATCCTTGCTTGCTGTTCTGGAAGCTCCTGATGTCCTTTCTATAAATCTCTGTTCTGCTTAAAGCAACCGGAGCAGATGACTCTTTCTTTTAACTGTGAACTCTGACAGACTTTTTTTAAATGGGGGGAATTTTCCAAGAGCCTGGTTCCAGTCCACAGCCACCAGGGTTACGCCGAGGGACAGAGGTGTGTGCACACACGTCCAAGTACATGCACACAGCCTTATCTACGTAGGCTTTCTTTGCTGTTTAGGTTGGGTTTTTGAGACTTAAGCATCTTCGACTCCTACTGAGAAGGGGCAGGCTGCACTTGCTGCTCAGGTTCACAGCCTGGGGGAGTGGATAGAGTGAGAAGAAGGAAGTGGGGAGGAGGAAGCCCATGGCCGAGAGAGGCATGACTGTCACCCTTGCCTTGCCCCAGCACAGGCAGTGTTGATCTCTGAGGGCTTCTCATCCAATTTAAGGTCATATCTGGTCTGGTGAGGACAAAACACATCTTTTTTGAATAGAAGTGAGTCTGCGTTTACATGCCTTTTCACTGTTTCCAGCTGTTACAATTAGCAGACCATCATAAAGCGGCAGAGGTGCTTCTAATGAATTTTTGGTTGGTATTTCAAAGCATAAACCAAGAAGGATTGTGCCATTAAAATTGAAAAGAAAACATGTAAGAGGAAGTCTTCCCTCTTTACCAGCATGGAAAACTCCTATTCGTCCTTCGCCACCATCCTCTACAAAGCTGAGCCTCGTTCTCCAGCTCTTCTCAGTATTAGTTACTCTTTCTGCTTTATTATTATTATTTCAGTTATTTCATTTATTTTATTTATGTATTTTTTGAGATGGAATCTCTCACTGCAGTCCGGGCTGGAGTGCAGTGGCATGATCTCAGCTCACTACAACCTCCGCCTCCCAGGTTCAAGCACTTCTCCTGCCTCAGTCTATCAAGTGGCTGGGATGACAGGCGCCCACCACCACACCCAGCTAATTTTTTGTATTTTTAAGTAGAGACAGGGTTTCACTATCTTGGCGAGGCTGGTCTCAAACTCCTGACCCCATGACCCTGTTCACCTTGGCCTCTTAAAGTTCTGGGATTGAGGCGTGAGCCACTGTGCCCAGCCTGCTTTATTATTTTTTATGCCTTGTATGGATTTATACTATCACACATGTTTACTGATTATCAGTCTGCCTCCCCTGTAACGTTTTTGAGGGTATCTTGAGTATCTCTGAACATTTTACTCACAACGCTTCAGACACCAAGCGTGTGGGGCTTTTCCACACCAATGACCAATTCTCCTCTTGGGACACCGGCCAGGTGTCCTACAGTTTAATTCAATTCTGGCAGTAACTACTTGGAGTTAGTGTTCAAGCACTCAGTCCCCAAAAACTGTCCTCACTTCAGATGCCAGACCCAGGTATTGAGTGCCAGGCTACTCACATTGCTGTCTAATCGGCTACAAAGTTGGAGGTTCTCACAAGCCTCCGCAGTTGCAAGTTCAATAATTGACTAGGATGACTCAGAGCTCTGAAAAGTAACTATATTAACCAGTTTGTTATAAAAGGTACAGCTCAGAAGCAGCCCAATGGAAGCGATGCGTGGGGCGGAGTATGTTAGAGGGTGCAGAGCGTCCGCACTCTCTCCGGGTACGGCGCCTTCCCAGCGCCTTGACGTGTCCCCCAACCCAAAAGCTCTCCAAGCCCCGGGGGATTGCTACGTTCCACCCACACGGATTTTCTCTCTATTTTTAGAAGGCATTGAACTCCTACCTCAGAAGACGCTGTCTTCTGCTCCTTCCCATGGCTTCCCATCTTCAAATGTTGGGTTGCATCCCAACCTCACAGCTCAGCTCAGCTCCCCAACCCTTCCCCTCAACTCAGTGGCTCTTGTTTCTACATGTCTCCAAGTCAACCTGATTATTTTTTCAATGTAGCTTGTAACACAAGAGCCACATTGCTCCCTTCTGACAACTGCCCTCAGAAGCCTCTAAACTGAGGCCAAACACAGTTCATTCGTCTGGCACATACCAGCGACTGTGTATACCTTATTGAATGAATGAATCATTGATTAAGGTAAAAATAAGTGAGAAAATCAGAATAAAGTTAAGCGAAGAAAATATACTACGAATTCAGGGGAAATGTCAGAATACAAAATGCAAGTGCAAGACGCTTTACCTTCACTAACGGGAGCATAGATTTGGCCTTGAACTTTCTCACGGCCAATATGGATCTCAGTTATGTGATTCGAGCCCCTGAGATAAAGATCAGACCTTTTAGGCCGGGCGCGGTGGCTCAAGCCTGTAATCCCAGCACTTTGGGAGGCCGAGGCGGGTGGATCACGAAGTCAACAGATCGAGACCATCCTGGTCAACATGGTGAAACCCCGTCTCTACTAAAAATACAAAAAATTAGCTGGGCACGGTGGTGCGTGCCTGTAATCCCAGCTACTCGGGAGGCTGAGGCAGGAGAATTGCCTGAACCCAGGAGGCGGAAGTTGCGGTGAGCCGAGATCACGCCATTGCACTCCAGCCTGGGTAACAAGAGCGAAACTCCGTCTCAAAAAAAAAAAAAAAAAAGATCAGACCTTTTAAAATCAGGAGAGATGCAATTATTCCTAGAAATCGCCCCTGAGAGATATTTCTCTTGGGGGTCAGGTAGAGCCTCAAGGACATCCTAAATTAATATATTAGAGCTTCAGATAAATTTCTACTTAATTGTAGCTGCTTTCTGCTGAAAGCAGCTTCCCACATAAGCCCCTTGAAGGAGGACCATATTTATTTCTTGTTATTTATTTTAGTTTTTCTCTAAGTGGTAAAGTAATATATTATTATTTCTGATTACAAAAGTTGTTCATGTTTCCAAACCTTTGAACATGTATAAGGTTTGTTAGCTGTTCTCCTACACCTATTAAAAAGGGGATAATCAGCGAATTCTATTATGTAAACTACTTTTCCCACTCAGTTGTATTTTTGGATATCTTTTCATGTCAGTTCGAATAGCTCTGCACAGTGACTTTAATGCCTGTATTCTGTTCTATTCTGTGGTTCTATCATAATTCATATGACTATTCTAATTTTTGTCCGAATATTTTGCTGTTATAATACCCTAATATTTTTTGCTAGTATAAAGGTGTAATATTATACCTATAGCTTTATTCATGGGTCTAATTAATTCCTCAGGATGTGCTTTTCTGTTTTTTTGAGATAGAGTCTTGCTCCGTCACCCAGGCTGAAGTGAAGCAGGACAATGTCAGCACACTGCAACCTCTGCCTCCTGGGTTCAAGTGATTCTCTGCCTCAGCCTTCCAAGTAGCTGGGACTGCAGGTACCCAGGCTAATTTTTATATTTTTAGTAGAGATGGGGTTTCGCCATGTTGGCTGGGCTGGTCTCAAACTCCTGGCCTTCAGTGATTCACCTACCTTGGCCACTCAAAGTTCTGGGATTACAGGCGTGAACTACTATGCCTGGCCTCTTTTCTTTCTTTCTCTCTTCTTTACTTCTTATATTTCTTTCTAGCTACTTCTTTGGCACCAGTTTAAAATTTTGTCATAAGATTTATTCTAGAAAAAGATACTGCAAGGTCAAAATGTGAGTACAATTAACATCTTTATAAATATTTCCAAATCACCTTTCCTAATGATGAATCAGTTGATACCCTGTCTGGTTGTGCCTGAGAATTTCCATTTCGCAGCGATACCCCAAACGCCACACCTTTTTTTAACTCTTGCTTTTTGCAGCTCTATTGAGGCATGACTGATGTATGCTAAACCACACATATTTACCATCATTCATTTAAACCCTTGCCTGTTGATGACACATGGTATGTTCCTGATGTAATTCACATTTCTTTCTTTACACATGAGATTTAGCATCTTAGCGTATGTTCATAGAACATTATTTTGAGTGCTGCCTGTTCTATGGCCCATTTTTCACTTAATTCTTAGTCTTTGTCTTAAAGATTTCTGATTGAAACTCAGACTTAGACTTGCCGTTATAGTCAAATGAAAGGTAGAATCTCAGTTTGTCCCCAGCGGCTTGGCTGACACGTGCGCTGTGACATCACTAAGCACCAGGTGAGGGTGTCAAAAAGGAAAATGAGGGCGGTTGCACAGGAGGCTGCTCTTGGTCACTGGTTCACGGTGTGCGTCTCCGCAAAGCAACCCCAAAGGCTAAGGTGCTGCGAGGCTGACGAAAGAGGCTGACAAATCTGGTTTCTCAGAAGCATTTAATAGGGACTTAGGAACAGAAGCAATGTCTTGGACAGCCATGAGGCAGTAAATCTTCATGCCTGCCCCCCAAAACAATCATTTATATAGCAGTCTTTTTTTTATTTTATTTTTTTCTTTTTGAGACGGAGTTTCGCTCTTGTTGCCCAGGCTGGAGTGCAATGGTGCGATCTCGGCTCACCACAACCTCCGCCTCCTGGATTCAGGCAGTTCTCCTGCCTCAGCCTCTTGAGTAGCTGGGATTACAGGCACGCGCCACCATGCCCAGCTAACTTTTTGTATTTTTAGTAGAGACGGGGTTTCACTGTGTTGACCAGGATGGTCTCGATTTCTTGACCTCGTGATCCACCCACCTCGGCCTCCCAAAGTGCTGGGATTACAGGTGTGAGCCACCGGGCCCAGCCACATCTCAGACTAATGACCACTGGAGAGGTTAGATGAGCATCTTTATGAGGAATTATCTAAGCCACAGGCATTGTTTAAAGACCTTACTGAAGAACACCTTGGTCTGCAGGAGTCACGTATCTGTCATCATGGCAGTCCCACTTCAAGATGGCATCAGTCTTGCCACGCAACAGGCTGTTTTCCTAGAGTCAGTCAGGGTTCTGTGAAAGAAACAGACCCAGCAGGACACACACACACACACACACACACACACACACACACACGTTCATTTGTTTGTTGATTGATTGCAAGGAATGGCTTACATGCTTGTGGGACTGACTAGCCAAATCTGAACTCTGTAGGTTGATTCTCCTTATCTCAATCACAATCCTTCCTGAACCTGCCCCAAGATATGGGATGAGCCATCAGTTGGGCCAGCAGCCCAGTAAAAACTCCACAAGTCCTTGATTCTCTCTCCTGGTCCAGACTGACAAATTTTTGGAAAGCAATTATTTTAGCTCAGCGTAATGCAGACCATGGTAATACTCATCAGCTTAACCGACTTCTATACTTTCCTGCATGTTTTCTTTCTACTTTTTGAACTTCAAAGTTCTGCGTGTGCTGCAGTGAGATAGCACTGCACACCCTCTCGGAGGTGCACAAGTTAAAGGATTGACAATACCAAATGCTGGTGAGGATTTGGAGCAATAGGACCTCATGCATCGCTGGTGGAAATACCAAATGGTTCAGACACTTTGGGAAACAGTTTGGCAGTTCCTTACAAAGTTAAACATACACGCACCATATGACCTAGAAATTCCACTCCTACATATTTATCCAAAAGAACTGGAAAATAACCCAAAGTCCATTAACAGAATGAATAAACCAATCTCGTTTTATTTGTATAATAGGATACTGCCGGCGTTAAAAAGAACATGCTGAATGAATCTGTCTACATGAAATTCTGTAATAGCCAAATCAATCGTGAAAGGAAGCACATCTTGTTGTAATTGCCCTGTAAACTCTAAAATGGGATGCTCTAATTATATACAATTTATTCTCCAGCGAGTTTTCATAATATCCATGTAGATTTCCAAGTGACTTTTTTCAGAAATCACATACAGAACTTCAAAGAAAATCAACTGTATTGAAGTATCACTTGAACACAATAAAATATCACCATGGCTCTTACCTGCATCACTCAGGTTACATGACTAACGTAGGCAAATCTCACCTCCCTGGCAGATCACGCCACTGCACTTCAGCCTGGGTGACAGAGCGAGACTCCATCTGGGAAAAAAGAAAGAAAGAAAATGTAATAGTAACTGCACCCGCTATTGCATAGGGACGTGGTGAGAGTTAAGTTAGGTAACGTGTGTGATGTTTGTAGATCAGCACCCAACACTTAGCCCTCAGTGAAACATTAGTCATTATCTGAGTGTTGCTACTATTTTGTAATTTCGAGGTGCTGTGGGTTTCACATCTCCCCACAAGAGGGCACTGGTGACACAGTTTTGCCTCAAAATGTTTCCAGTTGAAAGACCGGGAAGCTTTGCTTGTTTCTAAGGCACTAAGGGTCCGATTTCTCATGAACTGCTGAACCACGGATTTTAGAGCTGATAGACACCCACAAGTGATCTAATCCAATCATCAGATGTTGCAGTTATAAGCCACAGGTGGGTAAATGTGGACCAGGTGACATTTTAGAGCTTTAAGACACCCACAAGTGATCTAATCCAATCATCAGACATTGCAGTTATAAGCCACAGGTGGGCAAATGTGGACCAGGTGACATTTTAGAGCTGGAAGACACCCACAAGTGATCTAATCCAATCATCAGACATTGCAGTTATAAGCCACAGGTGGGTAAATGTGGACCAGGTGACATTTTAGAGCTGGAAGACACACACAAGTGATCTAATCCAATCATCAGATGTTGCAGTTATAAGCCACAGGTGGGTAAATGTGGACCAGGTGAGTACGACTTACAAGATCAACAGAGTCCCAGGACAGGCGACTTCACATGCGTCCTCTGTGGAGTTGAAAGGTAGGACAGAAACACCATCATTCTGAGTATAAAAATGCACCAAAAGTGTTAACAGCAGTGCCAGGCTGAAATGAAAAGAAGGCAGTGAGTTGTATATATGTGTGTGTCTGTGTCTGTGTCTGTGTGTGTGAGAAAGAGAGAGGCACTCTAGACCTTTGAAGGTACTGCTAATATTTTTTATTATTGATGGATTTGTTTTGAATTAATAATTTACACATGCTAGTATATATTTTTGGGGCACATAATGATGTGATACACGTAATAGTGATCAGATCAGGGAAATTAGCATATCCATTATCTCAAACATTTATTATTTCTTTGTGTTGGGAACATTTAATATCCTCCTTCTAGCTTCGTGAGACAATATTGTTAACTACAGTGATTCTGCAATGGTAGAGAACACTAGAGCGTGTTCTTCCTGTACAGCCGTAGCTTTGCATCCTTTAACAAATCTCTTCCCATCCCTTCCTTCCCTTTACTCTTCGCAGCTAACTAGTATCCTCTGTTCTGCTTTCTACTTCTATAAGACCAACGTTTTAAGCTTCCACACGAGTGAGAACACGTGGTATTTAACTGTCTGTGTCTGGCTTATTTCACTTAACGTAATGTCCTCCACTCCCACCTATGTTACCACAGATGACAGGGTTTCATTCCTTTTTGTGGCTAGTAGTATTCCATTATGTATACATGCCACATTTTCTTTATTTCTCTGCTATTGTACACCCAGGTTAATTCCGTATCTCAGCTGTTGTGAAAAGTGAACTGCAATGAATGTGGAAGTGCAGACATCTCAGCAATATACTGATTTCCTTTCCGTGGGATAAATACCCAGCAGTGAGACTGCTGGGTCATATGGTCGTTCTATTTGCAGTTTTGGGGGAACCGCTACAGTATTCTCCACAGTGGTTGGACTAGTTTACACTCCCACCAACAGGGTATGTAAGTTCCCTTTTCTCCTCACCCTCACCAGCATTTGTTATTTTCTGTCTCTTTAATAATAGTTATCCTAACTGGGGTGAGATGATGCTTCACTGTGAGTTTGATATGTATTTCCCTCATCAAGGACATAGTGATATTAAACACTTTTTCATATATTTGTTGGCCATTTTTGTGCCTTTTGAGCAAAAGTCTGTTAAGATCGTTTACTCATTTATTAATTGAATCTTTTAGGGAATTTTTGCTGTTGAGAGGTTTGAGTTCCTTGTATATTCTGGATATTAACCCCCTGTCAATGAATCGTTTGCAAATATTGTATTCCATTCTCTAGGCTGTCCCTTCACTCTGTTGATTGTTTCCTCTGCTATGCAGAAGCTTTTTAGTATAATAGAATCTCAGGTGTTTATTCTTGCTTTTGTTACCTGTGCTTTTGAGACCTTATTCATACAATCTTTTCCCAAATCAATGTCCTGAACTGGTTCACCATTGTTTTCTTCTAGTAGTTTTGTAGTTTCAGGTCTTACATTCAGGTCTTTGATCCATTTTGAGTTGATTTATACATAGGGCGAGAGGTAGGTTGGTATCTAGTTTCTTTCTTCTGCATATGGATATTCTGTTTTCCCAGCACAATTTGTTGAAGAGACTGTCCTTTCCCCAGTGAATGTTCTTGGTATCCTTTTCAAAAATCCATGGGCTGTAGATACATGGATTCATTTCCAGATTCTCTATTCTGTTGGTCCATGTGTTTGCTGTTACACTGGTACTACGCTGTTTCCATTGCTACAGAGAAGTAGTATGGTTCGAAACGTGGTAGTGTGACGTCTCCAGCTTCATTCATTTTGTTCACGATTGCTTTGGTTATTCAGGGTCTTTTGTGGCTCCATACAAGTTTTAGACTTTCTTTTCTATTTCTGTGAAGAATGTCACTGATATTTTGATAGGGTTGCGTTGAATATTTAAATTGCTCTGGGTAGTACAAATGTTCACATTCATGTGAACCTCTCTCTGTGCGTATGTGCGTGCATATTTACACTTCTGAGATAGTCTGAGTGTAGGATACAGAAATGAAGTTCCTTTACCTCCAAATATTTTTCTATTTCAATGGGTATTTCTGAAAGATAAGGCCATTCTTTTACGTAATGAGACTTTCGTGATCAAAATCAGAAAATTAACACTGATATGATAGTATTATGTTTAAAAATCTATACATTATTCCAAATTCGCCACTTGTCTTCTCATTCAAAATTTGCCACTTCTGATTCAAAATCACACCTCGCATTTTTTTCGTCATAACCCTTTAATCTCCTTTAATGTGGATCAAATCCTTGGTTTTTCTTTCTTTCATTTTGAGACACACATTGTTTTGTAGAATGTCCTTCAATCTGGGTTTTCCCGATGTTTCCTCTTGGTGGCAATCATGTTATATTCTTGAAAGGAATCTCATAGAAGTGAGGCTGTATCCTTCTATGTGCCGGGGCTTCTTAATTCTCTCATCTTTCTCTGCAGAGAAAAGGCAGACCAACACCTTGTTGGAGTGTAAAGTGCCCCAGCCAATTCCCAGGGCTTTGAAAAAACCTGGAAAAATTAACACCTGAAATAAGTTTTGAAGAATAATGAAAAGTTATTGAGCTAAAGGCTGACAGGGAGGGATTCTGGAAGGAGGGAATAGCTCACTTTCTTGGAGGTGAGAACATGTGTTGTGTTGGGAACATATTGGTCATTGTGTGTAGCCGTTGCCAGTACCCAGACACATCATACTTTCTTACCTTCTTGGCTCTGCCCATTCCTGGGCTCCCTCTGCCTGGTGGCACTTCCTCCACCACTTACCTTTTCTTCCTTTTTCTAGATAATTTTACTCAGCCTCTAAAACTCAGTGGAAGTATTTTCCTTGTCTTATTGCCAGGGAATGGTGAAGATCACATGTTTGGAGTCCAACGGGCCTGGGTCCAATCCTGCTTCCGCCACTTTGGCAGGTGAATGATCTTGGGCAAATTATTTAACCTCTTTGAGATCCAGTTCCCTTTTTGGACAAATGAGAGGTTATATCTGATGAATATATAATGTTTGTGTCCCTTGAAAATTCATATGTTGAAGTCTTAACCCACAGGGCAATGGTCACAGGAAGTGAAGTCATTGGTAGGTGATTATGAGATGGGTGTGCTTTTAATAGAGGTTCTGGAGAGCTGCCTTGCCCCTTTATACCACCACGTCAGGACACAGCTAGAAGGCAACGTTTATGAGCCAGGAAACGGGCCCTCACCCGACATGGAATCTGTCAGTGCCTTGATCTTGGACTTCCCAGCCTCTAGAACTGTGAGAAATAAATGTTTCTTGCTTATAAGTCACCCCATATATCATATTTATTATAGCAGCCCAAACGGACTAAGACACCCTCTGTGCCTATCACAGGCACAGTCTAAACAGGCACCTCCTTCCCAGGACCTGTGACCCCTCAGAGGGTCTCCTTGTATTCTAAGAGTTTCTGGGCCTGACTTCTTGTGCTTTTATCTTCTTCTACGTCTCTACACCTATGTGTACCAGCACGATTTTGCCTTGTTTCAAATACAGGCATGAGGCTCATCTGTCACCATTTCCAAAAAAAGGAATATAAACATACCATTGGTGAGTTTAGGAAGCTCACTGTGAATGTGAAAGTCCCATGGGAAGAGAACCACGTGGCCCAGTGCCCAGCCTCCTGCCTACCTGGGGCCAGTGTGCTTGTCCCCTCACACAGTACTGCCTCTTGACGTTGATGCATGCTACCATTAAGGCTTACTTACCTATCTGAACTCCTATTCACTCGCGGAAGCTGAAGATGAGGAGTCAGAGTTGGATCAGGCAGCAGGTGTGGTTGGTGGTGGGAAAGGTGGCTCTGTGGTCAACCAACGTGCCTGCTGTAAAAGCAACTTGTCAGGCTTGTCCAGACCCTGCACCCACGTGGGTGACCTACCCTCACCCTGCCTTCTACTTTCTCAAGCTCCTTGCCTACAGGATTTCGTTTCTCCATATACCTCATCCATGCACTCCTGAAATCGTGGCGTTGTCATGGCTAATCATCTCATCACCTCTGAAACCTCAGCTCCAAGGCTCCCACCATCTGAGCACCATGCTCCTACCTCCAGCCCATTCACTCTTCTCTCCTCACTCAGGTGATTTGACATTTCTGAGCCCTTGATATCTTGAAACTTGTGCTTTCTCCCCATCAATCTCCCTATGTATTTCAGCCCCCCAACCTCATTTTCCTCTACCCTGCCCTGCTTACTTAGTTCCAGCCATGCTGGCCTCTCTCATATCCTGGGATGTGTCTAGCTTGTCCCATTTTATGGCCTTTGTACTCAATGTCTCTTCTGCCCAGAATGTTCTCCTAGCATTGTTTCGATTTTGGTTAAAAATACTTTTAAACATATAGTTAATAATTAATCCATGCATTAATTAATGAATTATTAATTCATAATTATGATTTATAATATAATTTATAGTCTTACATATAAGTTAATTATATTATATATAAAGATAAAATAAAATATATAATAAATACATTTATAATCAGTGAATTGTTTTTAATTCATTAATTAATGAACTAATGCTATATTTATAAAATGAACATCATGTTTAGAGAACAACGTGTCTTACATTCTTGGACCTGCATTTCATTTACCATAAACCCTGTGAGTTCCTTCCTGATCTCAGACCCTCTCCTACTTATTGTTCCTAAGTTTCATTATGTTGGTGTTTAAAGCTGTAATTCATCCATTTTCACTGCTGTGTAGTATTTCATTACATCAAAAATACCCAAATACAACTATCTGTTCTGCCATTGATGGACATTTCAAGTTTTCCAGCTTTTTGCTATTACAATAAACTAAACTTTCTGAAGGATATCTCCTAATAATACACATGTGCAAGGTTTATTCTCTTGAAGTAGGTATAGACTTGTGGGTTCTAAAATATAAGCAGATTCCTCTTCTCTAGGTAACATAAAATTGATTTCAAAGTGGCTATTCCAATTTATACTCTCATCATTAGTGAAGGAGCATCCTGCTCTATATCCTTGCTAATATTTGGTATCACTTGACTTTTCGACTACCACCAATCTGGCAGGTGTAAATGAATCTTGTGATGCTCTCACTTGCATTTTGCTGATGATTTGTCATGACTTCTTCAGGGCTGCTCCTTCTTGTCATTCAAATTTGAGCTTTAAACACCTGGAGTCACCTTGTCCTTCTTAATTGTGTCAACCTATTTTAATTCTCACTATTTGCTATTTCCCTTCCTCTCTTTTTCAAAAAATGTTTGTCAGTCTATTTTAGTTCCTCCTCTACAGAGTGTGTACATAGTGGCTGCTCAATAGGTACTTATTGAATATTGATTAAATAATAAATGTGCCAAGTTTAGTTCTGATCAGATCAATATTTGCCTTCTTCCTGCTTGGTGTATGTTCTGTCTTTCATCTTGCTTTCAGCTTCATCTTGTACTTGCTCCGCTGTCTTTCAGTCTCCACCAATGTCTACTTCTGTCTTTATTCTCATTCTTGCTAACCCCTTTCTTCCTGCTTCCGTGCTTGTTGCCACACTTGAGACTTCAGGAGACGTTACGCATATTCTTCAAAGCCGACTTTTCCATTTAATAACCCTGTGCCCAGTCCCCTTCCCGCTCCTTAAAAACACCGCTGGGCCTTGGTCAGCCAGAAGCAGACTGATTCTAGAATATGCCGGAGACAAGAGCTGACAGAAACCCTCAGTCATTCAAATCATCTGCCAAGGACCCTAAAAGAAACAGCCCCGGGGGCCTGTCTTTTGTCAGAGGTGCTACACTCTAGAAGCAAAAGGACATCTTGTCTAGAGCTCATTTCAACTAGCCTTTTCTCACATTTCCTGCCAAATTTCCCAACTTTGATATTGCAGTAGCCGCAAGTCGGGGTAAATACATGTGGCAGATAGAACCACGTATCCCCCAACGAAGTTTTAAAGATGAATGAGGCAAAAATATTCCTTATCTTCTGAAACAGTGAAACTAATCTTTTTTGTGGTACCTTTTATGAAATATGATCTCATGTTACTTCTGTTTAAAATTATGTAAGACAAAAATTCCATTTTCGTCTCATATTTCAATTTATTTTTTTAAAAAAGGTCGTTGTATGCTGCATAAGCATGGCAAATTACGTAAATGCCCTTTCCCCTCTCCCTCCTAGAACCTTAATAAAATATCTGTAAAAGAAGCAAAAAATACAAAAGTCCGATAGGACAAAGTGGACTGCATATGAAACAGCATCTGATGCTGTTTGTTTGATGGAAGATTTCTAACATGTTGGTGTCTACAGAGGGGATGTTTGATGGGAAATGAGCGATTCCTCTTCAGAGGCATGAAAAGACTTAACACAAGTGTGAAGTGCCATGAGGCAAAGGTGGGAATGGGGGCATTTTCAGAAGGCTATACGCAGAGTGGTTAGACATCCTCCCCTGTCCTCATGAAGCCAGAGCCCAGACTGGAGTGTAGTGGTGTGATCTTGGCTCACTGCAACCTCCATCTCCCGGGTTCAAGCGATTCTCCTGCCTCAGTTTCCTGAGTAGCTGGGACTACAGGTGCATGCCACCACACCTGGCTAAATTTTGTGTTTTTAGTACAGATGTGGTTTCACCATGTTGGGCAGGCTGGTCTTGAACTCCTGACCTGAAGTGATCCATCTGCCTCAGCTCCCCAAGGTGCTGGGATTACAAACAGGAGCCAAAGTGCCCGACCTGAAGGTTTATTCTTTATGAAAAATGAACTTGAGAAACTCAGGAGAATCATGATGAACGTGAGTGGGAAGAGATGGGTACAGATTGAAAACAAGGAAATTAAGTGAAAATCTGCACATTGAATAGTAGACTCTCAGCACCCTCCGCCAATACTCTGCTTGAAGGACACTAGCAGTCAGGCTTACAATTCTCCCCATCCCCGGGGAGATTGGAGGCATCTTCTCTGGACTATGTGAATGAATCAGGCACCAACATTTGGAGGACCCTTTGGCAATGAAAAAGTTGATGTACCAACTGACCTCTCTGTGGTGGGCCGTGCAGCTACGCACAAGCTGAGCCTGCAATTTGCTTCATGCTTAAATATGAATAATAGGCAAGATCGCCAGACATTTGTAGGTAGCTTTCAAAATTAAAGAGAGCTAGGGGAAAAAAGGACAGAAAAAAATTGAATATGAAGAAAAAATACCGGGCTGAAAACAGAAAAGAATTAATTTTAATATTATATGGTGGGGGAGTGAGAGTGTGTCTGTAAAGGTAGAGCATGAGGGAGATCTTTGTGGTGATGACACACGTCTGTGGGCATGTGCGATCCACCCACCTCAGCCTCCCAAGAAAGATTTTCATCACTCAAGACTCATGGGACTCCCATGAAAAGAATCCCTACTAAATATAAGTACAGTAAAAAAATTGCTAGTCAAAACAGGAACTCATCCACTCTAAAGGAGAGTTGCCACACATGTGAAACAGGAGATTAGCACATTGAGAATTTGAAATAACAGGATAATCTGAAAGACACTATAAAAGAAGTTTATTTATAATGATTAAATAAGTCTAATAGGATTAAAAATCATAATAAAATAATAGGTGCTGAAAAAGACAGGGTTGAGAAAGAATCAAACAGAAATTTGAGAAATAAAAAGTCATTAAAAACAAGAAGTAGGTGTGTGTATTAAATAGCATATTAGAAACAGCTGAAAAACTGGACGATAAATATGAGAAAATTACCTTGAATCCAGTACGCTAAAATAAATAGGTGGATATGTAAATGAGAAGATAAAAGACATGGAAGCCTAAAGAAAAGGTTTCAAATTACATTTAGCAGGAATTCTAGAAGGAGAGCATAGAGACAATGGGGGAAAAAACTAAGCATTCGCTAAGATTTTTCAGGAAAGAAACAGAAGGCAGCTTCAATTTGAAGAAGCACACCAACACCCAAGCATAATAAATAAAACCAAATTCGCACTAAACGTGTCATGGGGAAACTTCGGAATGTTAAAGACACACAGCCAATACTAAATGCAAGGAGAAGGCGCACAGGTTACCCACAAAGGACATACATACATATGATGTATGTTATGTCCCATCATACAGAGAACAGACTTGTTATGAAGAATAGAGCCAGAAGGTAAATGTCAAATTGCTGAAATGAAATAGCCATGAGTCTAGAATCCATTCTCAGCTAAATGCCAGCTCTGCAGGTGAAATGAAATAGAGGCCTTCCGCACATAAACGCCTACCACATAAGATAATTTTGCTTTTAAAAATTAGTTGTCTCTCATAATAAGCTTTATATATATTAGTACTGCTGATTTAATTCTCTGAAGAAAATAAAAGCTGAGATTAAAAACACCAACTTTCCCAAGTTTACCAGACAAATTGAGGATAAAAAAAAACCTTGGATTATTACATTCTGAACTACAAGATAAAAAAATATCAGAAAGGGCTGGGCACGGTGACTCATGCCTGTAATCCCAGCACTTTGGGAGGCTGAGGTGGGCAGATCACAAGGTCAGGAGATTGAGACCATCCTGGCCAACATGGTGAAACTCTGTCTCTACTAACAATACAAGAAATTAGCTGGGCATGGTGCTTCGTGCTTGTAATCCCAGCTACTTGGGAGGCTGAGGCAGGAGAATCGTTTGAACCAGGGAGGTGAAGGCTGCAGTGACTGAGATCACACCACTGCACTCCAGCCTGGATGACAGGGCGAGACTACATCTCAAAAAAAAAAAAATCGGAAATATCTTTCCTTTCTTATCACAGATATGCAACCTATATTAGTCAGCATTTGATAGGTTAGGTTGCAGTAACAGTTCCAAATTTTCAGGGTCAATAGCAAAGAATTACTTTTTTGCTTACAATCCATGTCAGCCAGGGTTGGCTATAGCTCTGCTCTACATGTCTTCTTAATCCTGGTTTACAGGCTGAAAGATTCACCCCTACCTAGGACATCCCCTTCCTGTCCCTCCCCCAATTCCCACTTTTTTTAAGAGAAGAAAAACAGCCATGGCTGAACTATGCAGTGACTTTTTTTTTCTCTTTTTTGGAGATAGAGTCTTGCTCTGTTGCCCAGGCTGAAATTCAATAGTGCAATCTCAGCTCACTGCAACCTCCACCCCTGGGTTCAAGCAATTCTCTTGCCTCAGCCTCCCTTGTAGCTGGGATTACAGGCGTGTGCCACCACACCCAGCTAATTTTTGTATTTTTATTAAAGACGGGTTTTCACTGTGTTAGCCAGGCTGGTCTTGAAGTCCTGACCTCAAGTGATCCGCCCACCTCAGCCTCCCAAAGTGCTGGGATTACAGGCATGAATGACTTTTAAAACTTCTGCTGAGACGTGATATAAGTCATCTGCAAACATTCCATTAACCAAGGCAAGCCCTTGGACAAGTCTGATGTCAATAGTGGGAAGAAATGCATTCCATGGGAAGACCTGGAGGTATAATTTTCTTACAGGGAGAGCGTAAAAAATCTGGAAAAAATACTGCAGTCTATTGCAGATCCCAAAGATAGTTTCATCATTTGTATTTTTACAAATACTTACTGGATATTATTCCTGTCTTGCCAAAAAAAAAGTTGTTATTCTCTAAAAGTTTTCTGATATTAACCACATATTCACCTCTGAACTTCGAAGTGTTTCCCACGTCAGCATTATTCAGACTACGATCCAGGAACATCTGCTACAATCTGCAGTGAAATAAGATGGCGCCAGGAGGCAAATCAACACACTGCTTCCTTCACCACGAAAGCCTTGCTACAAAAAATCAAATGGCAGCAGAACTGAAGGGTGCACTTGCTGATGTAGTTGGCTCACATTTTGGCTTAGCTCCTTATCTTGTCATTGACAGGTACTAAGTACTCCGTGGACTGACAGAGGTTGACTATGCTTTGAGTGGCACTGTTCTGCAGCACCGTGGTTTTACCCATTAGATCATTCAGTTGTGGAATTTTAGAACTGAAAAGTGTCTTCAGCATTATCTATCCAAGTTCCTGGTTTCACAGCTGAGAATCCTTAGAACCTGAAAGTTTTAGCAAATGTCCCAAAGTGGTTGTGATGCGATATGAAATAGAGGCCAATTGTCCTGACTCTTTGCCGTCACCAGCATGCCCTGAAATTCCTGAAGGAAGAAGAATTTCCTGGTGAGTCGTATGCAGGCTCCATCTGTAGAGACTCAGGAGAAAGGGCCAGGTTGCCTCCTGATGGGAGCAGCGTGTGGAGGATGAGCCTGGGCTTACATGGCAGACAGATCTGGTCATGCTCCAGCTCTAGCTCCTACTTGCAGCATGTCTTTGGGAAAATTACTTACATTCTCAAAGCCTGATTCTTTCTTTGTCAACATTCCTTGAAGGCTGCTGTGAGGATGAAATATACTAAACTGAAGACTCTGGTGTTACCTTTTGTGGTAGGGAGAATAATAGCCCCCCAAAGATACGTACATCCTACTCCCTGGAACCTGTGACCATGTTATGTCACATGGCAATGCGAGACTTGAGGTTCCAGGCTGCATTAAGGTTGGTAATCAGCTGACCTTCAGGTGGGGAGACTATGTGGGATTATCTGGGTGGGTCCAATGTAATCACAGTGTTCCTTTTAAGAGGGAGGCAGGAGAGAATGAATCAGAAAGATGGCAGCATGAGGAAGACTCAGCCTGACATTGCTGGCTTAGAAGATGGAGGAGTGAGGCCATGAGCTAAGGAATGCAGGAAGCCTCTAGAAGCTGGAACACATCCCTGCAGACACCTGGACTTGTACCTAGTAAAACCCATTTCAGACTTCAGAGCTCCAGAACTGTGCAGGAATGAAGCGGCATTGCTTTTAGCCACAGATTTGTGGTAATTAGCTGCGCAGCAGTAGCAGGAAAGGAGTTCATCATTCATCTGAACATTGCTATTGCATCCCTGGAGCAACGGCTACGTCATCTTTGGGAAGATACAGCTTTTTTGAGGACGTGTTTTATAGTGATATTATTTGGCAAAATCTGCTGTAACACAAGCTAGCCAAGGCAGGAAGCCTGCTGCTTTAGAGGACATAGTTTCTCTCTGGCTATTTCTCAATCCTTTTTAGCTGTTTTAGTCATAGCTGGTCAAAAACAATGGTTTGCATTTCAGGGTCATTGCACTTGGGAATTTAAGAGTGCTCTAAAATAGCTGATAATCTGATTTTTTTTCCTCTTGCTTGATCATCAATTTTAGTTAGAGCTGCGGTCTCTCTAAAAGTGCTGCCCTTTTCCACTGTGTCAGATACAGTTTGCCAGGAAAGAGTTGAGGTTACATGGCGCCTGGCAGTGGTGGCAGATAGTTTGTGGTCTCCACACCTTGCAACACTCATCATCCTGTTTGCTGCAACTCTTTGACGCAGTCTGGAAGGCGCTGCAGCAGGAGGAGGCGTCTCTGTCTGACCTGCTTCCTCATATTTGAGCATAGGTATTGGGATTTGAATGCTTGATAATCACATAGTCACCAAGTTGCATAAAATTCGCAGCCTGCACCCGACATAACATCCGTGATGAGTTTGTTAGAAGAAGAGAAAAAGCACAGAGTGAGGCTCAAGCCGGCTTCGAGGCATACACGCCCACATGCTTCGAAGCACGTGGTCTGCAACGCTTAGCTTCTTTTGATAACGCAGGTGATGTGCTGCAGCCCTGGCTGGTGAGAAGAGGGGCAGAGCAAGCTTCTTTCTGGTTCCTCAGAGTGAAGAAGCTGTTCCTTTTTCTGGAACAACCCGTAGAAGTGTGGGAGGGTCTGACACTTTAGATTTTCCCTTTTCTCATTTTTTCTTTCCTTTTAAAAATAAAATAGCTAAGTCAGTTCTAGGAAAAATAGTGAAGCATTTCCTCTATTTAGGATTTACGCCATGCTTACTGCCCACAAAACTCAGAAGGACTAGAAAATTGAACCCTTGGAAGACTGAGAATGTAAAATAAAGACAATTAACCACAAGACACCATTTTCCCATATGAAAGGACTGAGTATTCAGAAGACAACCCTGAATGTTTTGGTGAGTGTGTGGTGGGAAGGACAAGTGTGTAGCCTGCTGGAAATGAACACTAGCAGGAACACTGTTTTCAGAAAAACAAATTGGTTTCTTGTGTGAAAAGCCTTAAACATACTTACATTTATGACCTTGAAATTATACTGTGCGAAGTCCACTCTTTGTTAACTCTGTTTGCTTCAGTTCACTAGCCTGCAAAATAGAGATACTAACAGGAACCATTTCATAACGTGACGTGAGAATTAAATCATGGGTAACTGGCACAGAGCGCGTGCCTGAAGAAGTAAGACATCATTATTAATAAAAATATTTTTAGGCAAAAATTATGACAGCATCACGGCATAGAAATTTAGGCACTGATTGCTCCATGTTGTGGTGAATCTGCAGCCCAGGTGTGTGGGGTTTTGAGGCCCTCCCTCCGGTACACACTGTGGAAAAGTATCCATTTGGGTTTTGAGGTCCTCAGGTACACACTGTGGAAAAGTATCCATTTGGGTTTTGAGGTCCTCCCTAGGGTACACACTGTGGAAAAGTATCCATTTGTTGCTGTTGCACCTCGAGTTCCTGTTGTTTCAAAAAGTACCAGAAAGGAGCTCAGCCTCTGCAAAACAAAAAACGGATTGATTCGGGAGATGCCTGCTGTGTTGAAGATGAACTTCGGGAAACTCTCCTCTTTCCCATACTAAAATCCCTGCCCAGGGAGGAGGAGTTTTTTTGCCATTTTCTATACATGCAACGTTTTTTATTTTATTTTTTTGAGATGGAATCTCACTCTGTCATCCAGCCTGGAGTTCACTGGCATGATCTCTGCTCACTGCAACCTCCACCTCCCAGATTCAAGTGATTCTCCTGCCCCAGCCTCCCAAGTAGCTGGGACTATAGGCATGCCCCACCATGCCCAGCTAATTGTTGTACTTTTAGTAGAGGTGAGGTTTCAGCATGTTGGCCAGGCTGGTCTCGAACTCCTGACCTCAAGGGATCTGCCTGCCTCGGCCTCCCAAAGTGTTGGCATTACAAGCGTGAGCCACCGTGCCTGGCGCCATGCAACATATGTAGAAGCATGACCAGCAACTGCACCTGTGTGGCCTAGACTCCCCCTTCACATACAGTGACTCAGCTATCCAGCCCAATCAAAGCCCCGTTTTCATTTCTGTCATGACAGGCACTGCTTTGGGGAACTATCCCGGTGTCTTCCTTACTTGTTGCAAGCAATACAATCCTCCTGTTAAATCCTCCTTGGTCGTGGTCACTGGACGGTCACCTGCCAAGTGATCATACATGCCCACTGTGTGGGTAATAAACAGAAACCATCTGAAAAGAGCTCTGGCTGTCCTGTGAGCTTTCCACCCACCCACTTCCCATTAAGTTCTGGAACAGCCCTCTTCAGATGTCTGAAAGTTATGTAAATTGGAGGGAGTTACAAGAAAAGGACATCTTTGATATAAGAAAGCTACCCATGTTATTTTCATGGATTACTTTGGGGGCATACAGTGTGCTTCTGAGGGGACATTCTAGAGTGTTCCCTGTTACCTGGAATTGTGTGGTTGGTGCAGGCTTTTCAACCCTCACAGGGGCCTCTCTTGCAGGACTAGGATCTGAGTCTATTTGAAAGTTGTCAAGGGCTTTGAAAATGGAGGCTTCTTGGTTCTTAAGGAAAGGGGGCCCAGATTGTTTTGGGCTGGCCGTGCTTGGGCTGTGGTGTAGGGGAGCAGCTCAAGCTGTGCTGTGAATGAAGAGAGGATGCAGCTGTCTAAGAGAGTTGGGAGAAGGGTGTGCAGCAGAACCCACAGAATGGAGAGGAGGGAGATGCCCAGGGGTTGCAGGCCGGAGACCCAGTTTTCTGGGACCTGAGCAAGAGGGAGTTGTCAGAATGGGGAAAGAGGCTGTCCATGCAGTGCAGGAGTGAGGCAGGGTGTTGGGAAGGGTAGACTCATAGAGGGCCTAATGCAGGGTCCCCCTCCCATGCTCCCAGGAGCCGCCTTGAGTACTGTCCTCATTGCTGACCACCCAGCCTTCCTGCATGTAAAGATCTCCCTCTCCTCCTCCTCCACACTATAAGTGGACCTCGGCTCCACGCACCCGTGCCTCTCCAGTTAACTGAGTAGCGAAAGTGACCCCAAGCAATGCCACAAGGCTTGCTTCTGCCCAGTCTTCCTCATGTGGACATCTTCCCAAGATATCTACAAAGCCAAAGGGGGTTCTCACAGCTTCGTGTTCTCAGAGTTCCCTGTCCTGTGCTTGGGGCAGGAGTCCTGGTGAATTGAGCAATTTAGACTCTCCAGCTGAGACAGTGCTCAACAGCACTCCATTACCTTTATAAGGTAATGCTGTTTTCCTATTTTTTTTTTTTTTTTTTTGAGACATGGTCTCTCTGTATTATAGGCCTGAGTGCAGTGGCACAATCATAGCTCACCACAGCCTCTACTTCCTGGGCTCAAGCAATCCTCCTGCCTCAGCCTCCCAAGTAGCTGGGACCACAGGCATGCACCACTACAGCTATTTATTTTTTTATTACTTGTAGAGACAGGGTCTTGCTTTGTTGCCCAGGCTGGTTTCAAACTCCTGGTCTCAAGCAATCCTCCTGCTTTGCCTCTTAGAGTGGTGGGGTCACAGGCTTAAACCACTGCAGCTGGCCTTGTCTTCATACTTTTAAACTTATTTGCCTTACACAGGACATCTTTTCCACTTGTGTCCACTAAGGACTACAGATAGCTGGGATTCCACTTGCCCCGTATGAAGTGGAGGACAAGGAGATAAACTTGATACCCATGATGATAAACACCTGTAGCATCAACATGAGAGGATTTCAGGAGGGATCAAAATACAAGGACAGTTAAGGGTTCTTTGAGCTTTGCCAAAAGGAATACTGCAGATCATTTTTGAGTTTTGTTTTTTCTTTTTTTGGTGTACTGCCAAACTGAAAAGGGAAATAAAATGGTACAGTTCAATTAGGCAGTTTGTTCTGTGATGCATGGTGTTACAGAGAAATGCCCTTGTCTGAATGCTGTTTCAAGGACAATCTATCATTATGCTTTCTGGGCTAAGAGAATGCCCAGTTAAGGTCGGCTGGAAATCTGGCATCCCAGCAGATATTTCCAATTAGATAATGACTTTGTGAAACTGTCTGTGTCTCTGGCCCAGGCCTTACAGAGACTATCGATCTGCTTGTTGAGCCAAATTCTGCATTACTATAAATTACTTGGGTAATGCTTACATGTTATTACCTCACTCCTAAATTAAAAGTGCATGACAGCAGCAAGAGTGACCCAGGGTCCAAAAAGTACAATTGGAGTGCATCTCTTTTTAGTTAAAAAAAAAAAAAATACAACCCATAAGCTCTATGTAATTAAGCTAGAGAAAAGTACAGGAAGAAAATCAAACTATTATCTGTACAGTTTCAGGTAAGCCCATGGTTCTCACGAAGCTGTTTATAATTATGGCAAATGGCTCGTCTGAGTTCCTGAACAATATCCCCATTGGCCTCATGGAGTTTCAGCTTAAAAGGATCTAGTCGTAATAGTATTGTGGAGACACTTCTGACGTCAGCAGCTTTCTTTATCTGAAACATAAAGACTGGTTCTCTCCCTGCCTCTGCATGGAATGTCTCGTAGATCCCAATACTCCACCTGTTTTTTTGTGCCATAAGAGCAGTATCATTATAGCAACAAAGTGTCCAGTCCAGTGTAATAATCACACTCCAAGCTCTTAAGCAAGTGAGATCAGTATTGAGTTGGACAAGAGACCTAGAGCCGGGTAGAAGTGATCAGCGTCATCTGTCACCTCCCAACCCCCAGTCCCACCTTGGTCTCCCATTGGCTGGCTGGAGTTTCTGACCCTTTCAGAAACTACAGTGGTGTTCTTCGGGGGCAAAGGAGGTTAGGAGAAACTGGCACAGTCTTGTGTCATGATCTGGCATTGTATCTTTTGGGTTTGGTGGATGCTCAAGGCTGATTGTCCCTGGACAGTTTTGTGGGTTTCCTGAAGAGTCTCCCAAACTCATCACCAGGAATCTCTCACTGCAGCTCCCATCCTGGTGGTGCTTCCTTCAATTTCTGCTTTCCATTCCCTCCGTCAAGCCCTGCACCTCCAGCAGTAGATCCCCCGTGTGGCTCAATCTCCAGGCAGAGCTCCTAAAGAGAACCCTTCCGACATGACCCCAGGCCTGATCCTCCCTCTGGTCCACCTGACTCAGGCGAAAGCTGACACATCCTTGCCTCTGTCTGGAGTCTTGTCGCTTGTGCCTGAGCTGACCTGGGTCTGTTCTTTCTACTTGGCCGTCTTAGGCCAATAGTCAGTCTCTTCCCTTTCGATTTCTGAGTATGTCCTGTGCCAGTGTCACGTCCCTGAGCTCCAGGGAATGCACTAAAAACTCATCAGGCAGGCCTTTGAGGTCTCTCCCACTTGGCTTAGGGCAAGGGGAAGCAACCACGGTGATGCCTGGAGCTTCAGCTCTGCAGCTGTTCTCTCTAAAGAAATTCTTCCATCTGCCTCCTGAGGTCTTGGTGAACCTCCCACACACCTCTTACACGTGTTTTCCAGATTGCCAGAATACATACACACACACGTACACATACACATGCACGCAGACACACACACATACATGTATGACTAACTCACAAAACCAGTTTTAACCACCTTCTTTCCAAGTTCTTCACAACATATCATTTGGGAAACTTAAAATCCTATTTTAAGCATTTGGCCCTTAACTAAAATGGGAAGAACGCGAATCCTATTTTAGCATCCTGTTCAGGTTGCTAACCATGACCGAACAAGAGCTTAGTAACCTAAAAAGAGGTGAGATAGAGTGCACTTGTAAGCACTAACGTGTAAACAAAGGGAAACTTAGTCTGACAGGTCATATTGACAGTTTTGGAGGCACATCAGGGCCTATCAGATGAGAGTGTCAGGATTGATTAGTAATGTCTGCAGTGAGCTGGGGAACGCGATACCTGGTTAGAAATTTGCCATCCCAGTACATGCTGGGAGACTCAATAACAAATTGGATTTTGCATGCAGTTCCCAGGTTTTCCTGGTTTGCTGATTTATAAGGCTTTTTTTTTTTAAAGAGGTATATAGAGATACAAAAAGAAAATATAAGTTGACCAGAAATGGTTGATTTCTTCCGGACGAGTAGGTCATATACACCCGTGTCTTGTGAGGGGAGAGAGCCCAGGCCCCTGCCCCACCCCACAAGTGAGATCACAAATCAGTTTTCTTCAGTTTTTCCCAGGCTTACACAGAAATCTGACTGAAAGTAGGTTTAGAAGAGCCAAGAGCCCCTTGAAGGGAAAAGGAGTGAGTTAACAGATTTCTCCAGTAGGGGGAGCCTAACTCTTTGCTGGTGTCATTGATTACTTTTCTAAAGCAGTATCTGTTAGGATTGGATTCGGCAGGATAAAACAGAGACCCAAATATCAGTGACTGAAACAAGATAAACATCACTTCTCTCCATGTACAAGATAGGGAATGCCAGGTCTGACACTGTGGCTGTATGATGCCATCGGGGACATGGGCCTCTACTCTCTACTCTATTCTCAAGGTCACCTTGTGGTGAAAATGACTGCTGAAACCCCAGTCATCCTGTCTGGTTCTACGCTGGAAGAAACGGTCATGACCAAAGGGTAAGCCTCTTTCCAATCAATCACCTCCCTGAGTCTGACCCAACACTTTCACTCACGTTCTTGGCCACAGTACAGTGGACAGATATAGCCACAAGGGAGCCTGGGGAAAGTAGGGGCTTCTACTGGGCGGCAGTCGTGCCTATCCAAAAACTGGGATTCTGCTCCTAAGGAGGAAAGAGAGAAAGAAAATGCCGTGGGTAATCAGTCTTTTGCACCACACAGGTAATACCAGAAAAACAATGGCTTTAAAACTTCTCCCTCCCTCTATATATGAAAGTGCTTTGCAAAATTATGAACTGTACAGGCAAGGGAATTTGGTTTATATTGGGATGTAAGAGTTTGAAGTAACGCAAAGACAGCGTACTGTTTGATGAGAGATTAAGTGAGCAAATTAGGAGTATTCAAATCATAATGTCTTTTTCTCCCAGCAAACCACTGTATATCTGAATTTATTTTAAAAAAAAAAAAAACACAGGAATGCATAGCCTGGCATCTCTTCTGAGTCTGACATAAATCAGAATATTACAAATGGTTAAATCATTTACACAGCATTATTATTGGAGTCACTTTCTGGTTTTGAGAATTTATTCGACTAAATAAATCTATAGAAAGTTCCCACTCTGCGCAAAGCACTGTTCCAGGAAATACTTAAAATTAGCAAACTGAATAGCATATTCTATTTCATAGAAGGAAAAAGGTATAATCCATTAGAGTGTGCATTCTATGAGGATGGAAAATTTTGTCTGTTTCATTCATCATAACTGAAATGTAGACGATAGCATCTGGCATGGAATAGGAATCCAGCACATATTTCTTAACTGACTGAAAGAATGAATCCTAAAAAATACTGATCTGCCACTTACTCTCAAGAAATAAACGTATCCTGGGAAAAAATAAATCAGCTTGAAAGTACGTGTATGTCTGTTTTTAGAAAATGGATACGTTTCTGAGGAATAATACATTAAATCATATTTAGAGCTAACAGTTTAAAAGTATCATATAAAGATGCATTTTCTAGAACAAATAATCATTTTATAAAGAGAATAATTACCTTCGTTTACTTGACAAATACAGATTTTTAAATATATGTCACATTCGTATAAGGTGGCGTAAAGTCCACTTTAGTACCCAGAAGAGAACAGAACATGAATTAAAACTAACACATAGTTTTGCAGTAGCAGTCCTATAAAAGTATTTTTTTCTGCCGGGCATGGTGGCTCATGCCTGTAATCCCAGCACTTTGGGAGGCCGAGGCGGGTGGATCACGAGGTCAAGAGATCGAGACCATCCTGGTCAACATGGTGAAACCCCGTCTCTACTAAAAATACAAAAAATTAGCTGGGCATGGTGGCACGTGCCTGTAATCCCAGCTACTCAGGAGGCTGAGGTAGGAGAATTGCCTGAACTCAGGACGTGGAGGTTGCGGTGAGCCGAGATCACGCCATTGCACTCCAGCCTGGGTAACAAGAGTGAAACTCCGTCTCAAAAAAAAAAAAAAAAAAAAGTATTTTTTTTCTATAAAAAATTTATAGGCTTAGTGAATTGATGAGTGAACTAAAGCTTTTTTAAAAAAATTTCTTCCTCCATAAGATACAAATTTAGCAAATAATTCTAGAAACTTCCCTTTCTCCCTCAGTCTCAACATCCAATCTGCCAATTTTATATTCTAAACATAAAAACAATTTTTCTCTGTACTACTGTCCTGCCTGGTTGGAAATCTTAGCATTTTCTCTGAATTTCCTCTGTATACCTACCAGACTAATGTATTCAGAATGCACTTTAGATTATATTCTTCATCAGTTAAAACCTTTCCATGACTCCTTAACAGCTAATCACAGTCCTTACATGGCCTCTGAGAGCCTTGTGACCTGGACCTGTTTATGTTGCTGGTATTGTCTCCCATCATTATCTGTCATGCATTTTACAACAGCAAGATTGGTTTAACTAATCCCCCGAGTCAGTTCCGTGCTGCTTCACTGCGCTTCTGTGGCATGCCAGGGACACCTCTGTCATAGAAATTCCACATTACACTTTATGCAAAGGATTTAGCATGGCGCCAGGCATCTAGTAGGTGCTCAATAAATCACTGATGAATTGAACCAAGCTTTAACAATTGTGATCCCTAGAGAACACTAGTTTGGAAGTTTTACCCGATAGTTAGTATAGTTGTTATTTTCTTCCACTACAAAGCAACTAATCTCCACATCTCCCCAGAACTACGTTGCAAAAGAACACTTTGAACCATTTGGCCTCACTGCGCCTATGTCCTCCTATAACTGTTTTCTGATCAAACACACAGCATTTTCTTATTGGTGAAAAAACAGGACTTCCTAATATGTCCTATTAAGAAATATTAGAAGAGTGGCTAGGTAGTCAAAATGAGTTGGCACTCTTGGTTTGTGGATGTATGGATTTCTGAGCTTAATTACATTGGGAACGTTTGCATTGCTTGCTCGCTGAAGGAATCCCATTTAAAGATTAGAAGTGCTTAACTAAGCACAACTGGGAGAAAATAAAAAGCAGAATCAATTTTCGTCATTAGTCTCTACCTCCCGTCCCTCCCCTAAATGTAATGAAAACAACAAATGAAAAATCAGAGATCCTCAGCTGACATTCAATCATTTGAAAAGGTCATTGTGTTTATCATTTAAAAGAAACTGGGAAAATGCATGTTTAAAATCTAGTTTAGAAAAACGAACCATAATGTCCTTGAAGGCAGCCATCATGGTACAGGAGAAAGGAGAATTGGCTGGGCAGACACAAGTTCTGACATTAAAAATAAGAGCTTGAGTCCCTACACTGTGCCAACCCCTGCATCAGGTGTCTGTAAGTCCTGTGCTTTGTAGGCCCGGCCTGTTGGATGGATGGGTGTCTCAACTGGGTGTTAACCCTAACTCCTGGGAAGGGGGAGGAGAGAGACTTTTGGGAGGGACCAAGCATCAGTAGAGGAGGTGGTTGGCCTGGAGAGAGGACATTCCACAACCACTGCAGAAGGGGACCACATCTTGCCTTTCTGAGTAAGCAAACTCCAGGACCTCAGCAGCTGTCCTGAGCCTGCAGGAAGCCAGGCTTTTGGGTGGCGCCACCACAAGCCCTTATTGCTGCTGCACCAGCCTGGCTGCCTTGGTTGAGGACTGGTCCTTCCCCATCTCTGGCCGACAGTGACACCAGGTAACATCTTTAAATCATCACTCACGGTTGGTTGGTGGTGGCGGTTTATGGGAGTCAGATTATCAGGGTGGAGGCTCAGGCTGCACGAAGTCAAATATGTGGAAGTAAAGCACTGCCTTGGTGGGCAGGTTATGTTTAAATGTGATAACGGCGAGCTATTTCTCTTTTCTTTGAGGCAGGGTCTCCTCTGTTGTGTGGTCTTGACTCACTGCAACCTCTGCCTCTTGGGTTCAAGTGATCCTCCCACTTTAGCCTCCTAAGTAGCTGGGCCCATGGGCGCACACCACCATGCCCAGCTAATTCTTGTATTTTTTGTAGAGATGGAGTTTCTCTATGTTGCCCAGGCTGGTCTCGAACTCTGAGGCTCAAGCAATCCACCCACCTTGGCCTCCCACAGTGTTGGAATTACAGACATGGGCCACAGTGCCTGGCCAACAAGCTGCTTCTTGAGTGCCTGCTACCCAGAGGATATTTAATATCCCTTGTGAGGTACACAAGTTATTACATAACCCTTAGCCTCCAAACACAAAATGATAGCCCCTATGGAAGGGGGCTCAGAACACCCTGCCCTTCCTTCTCCTCCGTGCTTTTCACCAGTTGGCTGAGAATGTCCCCTGCACACAGTACTCTGATAATGGACAAGAGGACAGAGAGCAGGCAGAGGTGGCATCCAGTGTGTCAGAACAAGGCAGAGTATTCCACGGAGACATATCGGGTAAAACTCTGAGCTTGGAAGTTATGCTTTTTGAGTAAATGCATAAGCATAATATCCAAATAAGATCCAGACAAAACCTGCAGACTGTATTGTTTTTACCACAAAAAAATATGGATCATAGAGAAGTGAATTCCCCAATGACTGAATTATCGTCATCATGATCATTACATTAGCGAAGCTACACAGCACGTTACCAGATGGGCGACTCTAACCTGTGTGCCTCTCAGCTCTCTTCAAACTAAAGTAATCCTCACCAAAATCCAAAGCACTTTACTTGGTATGGGAAAGGGAAATGGAAAGGGAGATAAAACAAAATAATTTTAAAGATGATAAGAATTCTTGTAGAAAAACAAAGGTACAAGAATAGCTAAAAAGTTTTGCATAAGGATAGCAATGAGTTGGAACTTGATAAATCAGGTATATTGAGGCTTGGTTTTGGTTAAAATAATTTAAACATTGGCATTACATAAAGAAGTTAATGAAACAGAATAGAAAGTGGTGGAATAAAATGGCCTAACCATGTAAGAATTTAGTGAATCATAAAATGGCATTTCAGATTGGTGGGGTAAAGATTGAGCAGATAACGGCTAAAGGTACAACTTCCCGGAATTCTAGAAAGACCTGAATTTTGGAACCACACATCGCTTGCCATACTGAGGTAATTCTGAGATGAATCGAAGATCAATTCTGAGGTGAATCAAAGACAAAAATGTAAGATAAGTAAAGTTTAGGTCAATGTGTAATTTAGGAATTGAAGAAGGACTTACTAAGCTTGGCAATAAGAAGAAAAACAAGAAATAGATTTTATCATCTAAAATTTACATTTTCTTTATGGAAGGAAATCTCACTTCAAAAAGACAGACAATAAACTGAGAAAGATATTTTCATCATACATGACAGCAAGTTTACATTCTCTCTCTCTTCCTCTCTCTATAAGCTGTTAACTGTCAACAAGATGAACAAACATGCCAACAGAAACCCGAGAAAAAGATGTAAAGGGAAAAATCAGAAAAGATAATAGGATCATGATTATTTAACACGGAACCCAAATCGACTTTATTATTAATTTTAAAAAATTAGTCACATTGTCTAATGGGCAATAAATATATTAATTTCTATCAGTAATGTGTGCCTAGGCAAAAAGGGCTCATGATACACTATTGGTGGAAAGGTAAAGTGATATGAAGAATAGTTTCAGCATAAAAATTTCTATCAAAATCAAATGAAAATGGGTAGAGATTTTGGCAATGATTTAGCTTTAGAAATTTTCTTTATCAAATTGTTGTTTAGAAAAAAATGAAAGTAATTTGCTTAGTGAATATTAGATAAGTAAATTGGGGCACTTCCATGATGGCATATCAATATTGGAATCTAACAACAGAAAGATATTTGTGATATATGGTTGATGAGAGAAAAATAGAAAGTGTCACCATTATATGATTCCATTAAAAGTTAAAACATTTTTAATTTTCACAAGGGTAATACATACTTATATTAAAAATTCAATCAAAAATTCATCTAGCCAAAAGCAAAGGACCCTGTGATCAGACGCTAGACTCTGCTTCCCAGACGTAACCATGAAATTCATGTTTATCATTCAGGTGGCTTCTGTCAACCTGTTTCTTTGCGTATACGGACACTTGTTTGCACACATACTCACTGTTGCAGGATGACTTTGCGATTCTCTTCAGTACTGTACAGACAGCTTCCATTATTCCTATTTCCCCTACATGTCTTCATTGAGCAAAGCACACTTTGCACTAGGAGTGAGGAAAAGATAGAAAAATAAAGAATGAAAGAAAGGAACAAGAGGGCAGGAGGGAGGCTGGAAAGAGAAGGAATGGAAGGCAAGCAAGTCAAGGAACAGGAAGGATAAAAAAGAGCCTGGTTATTGAGGTGTTTACAACAATGATCGAGAAAACCTAGAAACAGATACGTTCACTCATCTCTCTTCTTTCTCTGGTGCTCCAGGAGTTTTGGAATTTACAGATAATGTGGGGCTTACAGTGATTACCAAGTGACTTACACTGGTTGATAGTTAAATTTTTAACCAGTCCTGCTGCTGGGCATGGTGGCTCGTGCCTGTAATCCCAACACTTTGGGAGGCTGAGACAGCAGGATATCTTGAGCCCAGGAGTTTAAGACCAGCTTGGGCAATATAGTGAGACACTGTCTCTACAAAAAGTATACAAATTATCTGGGTGTGGTGGTGCCTGCCTGCAGTCCCAGCTACTCTGGAGACTGAGGTGGGAGGATCGCTTGAGCCCAAGAGGCCAAGGCTGTGGTGAGCTGAGATCGTGCCCCTGCACTCCAGCCTGGGTGATAGAGTGAGACCTGTCAGAAAAAAGCAAGAAGCAGTCCTGCAATCTTCGGTATTTTTTATAGATGAGATCTTCAATGATGATGATGTATAGCTGAGCCCAATGAGAAGACAATGAGATATGTTACACCAAAGCTGTCTCTCTTTTGAATCAACACTTTGATATGAGCATTGTGACCTCTGGAGAACAGTGATTCTCGATTTTAGGGAGCATTAAAGTCACCTGGAGAGGTAATAATTAAGATTCCTGGATAGAATCCCCAGAGATTTTGATTTAGTAGGTTGGAGGTAGGTCTGAGAATCCACATTTTTAACATGTGTATGAATGATGCTAATGCTGTTCTTATCTTACATAATGTAAAAAAAAAAACGCCACTGGAACAAGGAAGATTCTTCTATATACAACTGCGTGCTTATAGGTACTTAATGTTTAAGTAATTGCAAGAAGCTGGTTACCAATATTTGGGCATCTGAAGGAAATTAATACGAAATAGACTTTTCACTCTTAAATCTTTTTTGAGCTGGGTAAAGTATGCTAGTATTACCTATTTAAAAAGCAAATAAATACATATGTTTTCCAACTCCCAATTAAATATAAATGAACATACCTTTTGACCCAGCAATTTACTTAGGGAAATATACCACAGATATTTGTAAACATGTGCAAAGAACAAACTTCTTCATCACAACATCTTTTTTCCAAGTAAGAGGTTAAAAAGATAAAAGTCCATCAAGTAGTGAGCTAGTGAAATAAACTACATACGTTGCTCAATGGAATAATATGCAACATAAAGAAAGAAGATAAACTAATAATGTACTGATGTGGAATAATCTCTATGACATAATTTGAATGGAAAGGTGCAGAAAGGAGTATATATTATGCTGATATTACACAGATAAGGAAGAAATATTTTTGGCCATGCACGGTGGCTCAAGCCTGTAATCCCAGCACTTTGGGAGGCCGAGGCAGGTGGATCATGAGGTCAAGAGATCGAGACCATCATGGTCAACATGGTGAAACCCTGTCTCAACTAAATATACAAAAAATTAGCTGGGCATGGTGGTGCATGCCTGTAATCCCAGCTACTCAGGAGGCGGAGGCAGGAGAACTGCCTGAACCCAGGAGGCGGAGGTTGCGGTGAGACGAGATCGTGCCATTGCACTCCAGCCTGGGTAATAAGAGCGAAACTCCATCTCAAAAAAAAAAAAAAGAAAGAAAAAGAAATATTTTTATATGTTAGCATACATATTCATAAGCTATCCTGGAATATAATATGATTTATATCGTTGGTTGTCTCTGAAAAGGGAAAGGGATGCCAGGCATCCAGCTTAAAGAGTTTTTTTCCTATACTCTCTTGTACCTTTTGAGTTATGTGATTATGTTACCTAGTAAATATTTTTGAAAAACTACTTGGTAGATATCTTTCCATTTAAGGAAACCTGGTTGTCTAATTTTTAAATGACTGAACTGATAATGCCTTGTGTGTATTTACCAGATTTAACTAATTCCCTATTGATGAGCGCTTAGAATGCTTCTAGTTTTTCACAATAGTAAATATCCTTGTGGTAAATATACTTGAATACATTTTTGGACATATGTGCAAATACCTTTTAGCAGAAAATTATTAGACATATTATGGTAAAAAACAAAAATTAAATTCTGATTGTTAAAGCTGTGTAAATATTAAGCTCATCTTTTTGTTGTTATTGTTACTTGTAACAGTTTATTGTATGTCAGGAAGTTCTAGAATTTTAGCTGCCCAAAACACTTTTTCTTCCCCTAATTTTCAATTCTTCTTTCTTGTGGAGGATCTAATTCGCATGTTTTGGGAGGGGCCAATTCTGCCTTACCTAGTTACAAAGATGGGCATGTGACTCAGGCCTGGCCAGGGTATGCCATCCATGAAGCTCTAATGATTTGTTTGTATTTGGATTGGTGACCCAGGCTGAGCCAATGAAAATCATCCCTAATGTATTTTACAGTAATAGTTGGGGCAGATAGTGTGTCTTCCTCTGAGGTTTCTGAGGTTCCTGAGATTCTTGTATATGAACCTGGAATGATTAATGGCCATCCATATTACCTGGATATGAGACAATTTTTTTAAAAAGTATTGGTAAGAGATAGATGATAAAGTGAGCTAGATTAGATAGAGAAATAGATAATGCCTTGATGACACAGTTGGAGGTCCTGAATGAGTTGTGCCAGAAGACACATCCACAACATATATATGTATATTTGTTGAAAACTTCATTCTTTGCTGGTCATATATACTATATTTTCCCCAGTGTTCTGCTTGTCTTTTTTATTTTTGCCATACAGACATTTTTTTTTTTTTGAGACAGAGTTTCGCTGTTGTTACCCAGGCTGGAGTGCAATGGCACAATCTTGGCTCACCGCAACCTCTGCCTCCTGGGTTCAAGCAATTCTCCTGCCTCAGCCTCCCGAGTAGCTGGGACTACAGGTGCGCACCACCATGCTCAGCTAATTTTTGTATTTTTTTAGTAGAGACGGGGTTTCACCTTGTTGACCAGGATGGTCTCGATCTCTTGACCTCGTGATCCACCCGCCTCGGCCTCCCAAAGTGCTGGGATTATAGGCGTGAGCCACCGCGCCCGGCCCTATACAGACATTTTAAACTTTTTTTTTTTTACATGATAAACTTATTCAACTTCTTTAAGGTTTCATTTCCGGCTTTAAAAAAACTTTCTAAATCTGATTTTTTAAAGACCATAAGTATTATTTTTATATTTTCACCTTTATGTCTAAAATTGGAAATTAACCTTTGGTGTGGTGTGAGGGAGATAATCCCGTTTTTTAAAAAAAGAGTAATACATTATAATGTGTGTATACACACATACACATGTTGAAATAATTATCTCTGGCTCTCATTGGGTGGTGGTGTAGCCAAGTACCCCATTTTTAAAAGGAAAACGTGATTTTTTTTTTCTTTACCCCACTTCCTACTTAGCTCTTTAGGAATGCAGTTATAACCTTTACCTTCTCTCCATCAGGTGCGGCAAGTTTATCTGTTCACTGAGAAGTTCCAGAGACTAAAACGTGAAGCAAATCAGGCCCATCTGGAACTCTCACCAGGAGACTGCCTGAATTTACAAGGTAGCTGCCTGCAGAGGCACCAGCCAGACCTCCTGATAGGTAAGACCTCTGAACCAAGTCACACAGACCCTGCACCTCCTCCCCTAACACCCCCTAAAAAGCCCTTGTCTCCTGCCCTGAAGGCTGAAGTGGTATCTAAAGGCAGGAGTCTGTACTACTTCCCCTCAGGTAGCTCTTGAATAAAGTGACTTTCCGCAAACCTCGCTCTTGTTATTCAGACTCTGCAAGCAGCGGATTACTGAGTTACAGCGGCGTTACAAGGAGGATTTTGATTTCTTCTTAGGTTTAGTTGTATTTTCTAATATTTCTATAATAAATATGTCTTACTTCCATTCAAAAATACTGTAAGTTACTTTTTTTTGGAAGCTCTATAAGAGATCACTCAGACTCAATGCTTATACTATGCATGAAGAGATTGGGTTCTAAGTATATTTCCTATTTGTCCAAGTATCTAGGTTTATTTGTTTTGAAATGTCTCTCAGACTTTGTCATTTCCCTTGAAAGCTATTCTTTTTTATTTCCTGTGTCAATGTAAACTACTCAGTTAAACCCAAACCCAACATGTTTTGAATAAATAAATAAACATACTTCTTTCCCCAAGAAATATTTCAGGAACAAGTGTGAGTATTAATAAGCTATATGCCACGGGGAGTTAATATTATTTTTTCATCTTGTTTTCTAATTATGAATATATTACATTTTAATGAATTGACTTACCATTCTATCAATATACCTTTCTGTATTACATGTGTAATATGGTAGTTACTTCTTTCATTATAAATAATTTTAATCATGTGCTGGAGAATACAGTGTATATTCTCAAGCTCAGCAAAGTTTACCTGGTTCTGCTTAAAAATGAAACAGAGTCTCAAGGAAGAGTGTGTAAGCATCACAATCTATTGAAATCAATAGTCAGAAAAATTACTTTGCCTGATTCTTTATTTAAATGATATCACTAAATGATACACACAGACATGACATAATGTATATTTTCTGACATTCTCTAAAGATAGCTGTGTAATTTTAAATCATTTCATATCACTAAATTTAACTCACAATGATATTTGAGATTTGAGTGAACTGCACGTAAAAGTTACATTAAACAATTCTATGCCGTTCTAAAGTGGTTTGTATATCAAAATGACCTTTTATCTTTCTCTTACCAAATGTTAATTCTTAAAGCAAGTTTTGCCGTATGCATATGCTGCTTTGCAATGTTATTTTGTAAGCTGTACTTTATTTTCCTGTCAGGCTCTCACTGTAGGCCTTGGTAGACGCTGGTGCTGGCCTATGGAATCAGGCTAAGGTCCAGTTTCTCTGCTTTAGGAAATGAAGTTCAAGGTGACAAAGACTGTACCAGTTCTCTAAAAACTTGGGAAATTAATTCAAACAAATAAATGGGGATAGACTTAATCTTTTATTCCCCAAAACAACCTCCAATTGGGATGGTAGGCACTGGACAGATTCCCACCGAAATGCACAGGCACTGAGAACGTGGATGTATGACCTTGAAGCTGTATGCAGCACAAACCCCACTGGTGACTGCAATGCTATCTCATCACCTCGTATGGATGCAGGAAAAGACCAGTTGTAAGATAGAATCCATTTTGCAAAGGATTTTAACCTTTTTCCTTTTATAGTAAACAGGTTCTGAAATTTTCCAGATCTTTATTCAAATCTAAAGGCTTTACTAATCCTCCTTGAGTATTATTCTGCAACAATTCCCTAACAATCACAAACTTTCATAAGCATCTAGAATTACAAAGAGAATTCATATGAGAAGACACTTAGGTCTTCCAAACAGAACCTGTACTTTCAAAGAGATGAATTATGATATGTAGATATATATGTAGTAAAAGGCAGTAAAGTTCATATATATGTGTAAATATATATATGTATATATATGATAAATCATTGTACTACAATTCTGCTGACAATTCCACATCTAGTGCTATTCTTCTACCAGGACTATCGTCTAAAACGAAACTACTTTCCTTTATTCTTCTATAGCAGGAAGAAGAACAGACATAAAACATAACAGGAAGCTGTGTTGCTCCAAAAATATCACAGGATCGAATGACACGAAAACCTTCACCAAACTTGGGACCATGACACCATTCACACTTGGAGGTGCTGAAATGGAGGAAACAGCAAGTAAATATTTAACAAATTTTTATTAAAGACTCTGTGCTATGCAGGACTCCAAATAGTATAAAATATGGCCCTTGTCTTCATTGAGATTAACAGCTAAATGAGTGCTACCATTAAGTGAATGACTAAATGCTAAAAGAGCTAAACAATCAAGTAGATATATGTATAATACAATCCTAGCTTTTTAAAACAAAAAAGTATATATGCATAACAAGAAAAGACTCTAATGATCGATCCCTATTTGAAAATAGTTATTCTTGGGAAATGTGATCACAGGGAATTTTACATTTCTTTACAGTGTGTTTCTTTATTTCTAATTCTTAATAATAAACGTGTTATTTTTATGATACAAACTAAATATATTATTTTTAAAGATAAAGATACTATCATAACCCATTATAGAATTAGAGTCCATAATGTATTTTTAAATGGTTAGAAATCAGTTAAGAAATAGTAATGCATTAGTACATTAGTACATGAATAGACTATTCACAGAAGAAAAAAATGAATGTCAAGAGACCATGGGTAAAACTTCTCAATCTCCCGAGTAATTGGGGAATACAAAATAAAACACCAGGAATGACTATTTCACAATCATCAGATGGGCATAATGTAAAAGTCTGACAAAAAAAAAGTTTGGTGAGGATGAGAATCATTAAGGATTCTCATACTTTCTTAGTGGAGTATAAATGGGTGTAATCACTTTGGAGAATGATATAGCAGTTTTTCCTTAAATTGAAGATGCACATTCTCTGTACCTAGATAAACTTGCATATTTGCATAAGGAGATGTTTTTAAATGTCCATTGCAGACTTCACCATATTAATGAAATATTGGAAACAATCCAAATGTTCATCAGTAAGGGAAATGATAAACAAATTATGAAACACTCATTGCAAGAAAAACGATTCAGAAGTTAAATGATCTAAAGCCATATAAATCAACATTGACAAATCTAAAACAATAATGTTGAACATAAAAAACAGGTTGCAGAAGAAAATACTGTGTGATATTTAAATATATATATAAAGTATAAAACATGAAAAATACTAGATATTTGTCAGAATTTTTAATAACAGCAATCAATGTTCTAGTCTTCCGTGCATACTAACTGGGTATCCTATAATTCAATCAAATTTTGACACTATCTACCCAGAGTTAGCATCAGACTTCACAGGTTAAGGGCTCAGTCCCACAGGGCTACCCTCACTTCAGACACCAGGGCAAGCATTGGATCCCTGTAACAAAAACAACAGAAGAAAAAATAAATTGTACTTCATAAAAATGTAAAACCTTTAGCATCAAAGGACACTGTCAACAATGTGAAGAGGCAACAAGCAGAATGGGATAAAATATTTGCAAAATATATATCTGATAGGGAATTAATATTCAGAATATAAAAAACTCCTATAACTCAACAACAAAAAACAGAAAAAAAAATTTTTTTAATGGGCAAATGTCTTAAATGTACATTTCTCCAAGACATACGAAAGGCTGATAAGCACTTAAAAAGAAGCTCAACATCACTAACCATTAGGGAAATGCAAATCAATATAACAGTGGGAACCATAGCTCACTGCAGCCTCAAAATCCTGGACTCAAGTTATCCTCTAGCTCCAGCCTCCTGAAAAGCTAAAACTAGAGAGTTGCATGCCACCACATCAGATAACTTTAAAATATTTTTTGTACTAGCTGTGTTGCCTAGTCTGATCGCAAACTCCTGGCCTCAAGTGATCCTTTTGCCTCAGCCTCCCAAAGTGCTGGGATTACAAGGCATGAACCACTGCCCAGCCAGAATGAGTTATTTTTAGTAAAGATAAGTTCCAAGTATTAGTTACTATCAAGGCTTCATAGTTTAGTGGAACTGAGTAATAATTTTGAAAGTTTAGTCTATATTTCTAATTAAACATTGTCTTCAATAAATGGTGCTGAGAATACTGGATATCCACATGTAGAAGAATAAATTAGATCCCTGTCTTTCACTGTATACAAAATAAACTCAAAATGGATTCATTTCCCCTATGATTAAACATAAGACTATGTGTAGGTATTCAAACAAACTATAAAACCACTAGAAGAAAACATAGGGGAAGTGCTTCAGGACATTGATCTAGGCAAAGATTTTATGGCTAAGACTTTAAAAGCATAAGCAACAAAAATAAAAATAGACAAATGGGACTATCTAGACACATTAAAAATCTTCTGCACTGCAAAGGAAAAATCAACAGAATCAACAACCTACAGAATGAGAGCAAATATCTGCAAAGTATTTATCTGACAAGGCACTAATAAATATATGAGGAACTTAAACAATTCAACAGGAAAAAAAAACACTCAATCTGATTTAAAATGGTCAAAGAATAAATGGACATTTCAAAAGAAGACATATAATTGGCCAATAAGTATATGAAAAAATTTTCAACATCACTAATATTTAGAAAAATGCAAATCAAAACCATAATAATATATCTCGCCCCAGTTAGAATGGTGATAATTAAAAAGATAAAAAGTAATAAATGCTGGTAAAGATGCACAAAAAAAGCAATTCTTACACTTTCAGTGGAAGATGTAAATTAGTGCAGCCATCATAATGGAGTATGGAGGTTTCTCGAAAAACGAAAAATAAAACTTACTATCCAGCAATCCCATTACTGGGTATTTATCCAGAGGAAAGGAGAATAGTATATTGAAGAGACATCTGCACCCCACATTTATTGCAGCACCATTCGCAATAGCCAAGATATGGAATTGACCTACATGTTTATCAACAGATGAATGGATAAGGAAAATGCAGTATATACACACAATGGAATACTCTTCAGCTATAAAAAAAGAATAAAATTTTGTCATTTGTGGCAACAGGGATGACCCTGGAGGACACTATGTTGAGTGAGATAAGTCAGGCACAGAAAGGTAAATACTGCATGTTCTCACTCATATATGGAAACTAAAAACAAACAGAGCTCATGGAAGTAGAGAGTAGAATTGTGGTTATTAGAGGCTGGGAGAGTCAGAGGGAGAAGAGGATAAGAGAGGTTGAAAATGGAAAAAAATCAGAGGTAGAAGGAGTTTTAGTGTTTTATAACACTGTAGGTGAATATAGTTAATAATCTATTGTGTATTTTCAAAAAGCTAGATTGTAAATGTTCACGACAAAGAAATGATAAAGTGATGATATACTAAATTTATTTGAGTATTACATACCATATACATGTATTGAAATATCACTCTGTATGTTATAAGTATGCATAATTGTGTGTCAAACAAAAATAAAAACAAAAATTTCTAACATTCTCACACATAAGGAAGTCAAGGTACAATTTGTGAAACATGAGTCTTCTGATCCCACCCTAAAAAGAGGTGGATTCTCTGTCTGAGGTGATATAATGTGGGTAGAGAGAAAGAAAGAGGTAGATAGCAACAAGAAGTTGTACAGGACAAAAGGACAAACAGAGCTGCTGATGGACAGGGCAGTCCCTGGAGTGACGCAGTAGCTGAGCTTGGAGTGGCTTTGGTGCAAGTCCACAGCTGAGCTGCAGTCCAAAGAACTCAGCAAAAGTGGACGGTATGAAATTTTCAGTAGCTGGAAATTCAGGATTAAAGCCAAGGGTAGACATTGGAGGATGACACTGGTTGGGGTGACAAATCCCTCCTTCATTGTTATTTTTACTGATATCACAGTCGTCTTTGATGCGATTGAACCCTCAGTCATTTTTTATCCTCCCTCTCTCACTTGCCCCACATACCTAGGTAGCTGGTAATTTTACACCATTATTTGTCTTGTTGCATTTCCTACCTGCTCATACCCATGCTTATTAATTTGAATCAATCCCTCCTCACCTGTTATGGACATGAGTGTTTTAACTGACCTTCACCCAGCCTTCCCCTGCACTACGCCATCTTTGACCTACTGCCAGGTCTGTTTGGACTCAGTGATTCCCAAGGCCTGAAGGAGAAATTTCCAGTGCATTCAGTGATTTCCAAAGGACAGCTAATCCATTTATTTCTTTTCAACTCACTTCTCAGTACATTTTTTTTTTTTGAGACAGAGTCTTACTCTGTTGCTCATGCTGGAGTCCAGTGGTATGACCTCGGCTCATTGTAACCTCTGCCTCCTGGGTTCAAGTGATTCTCCAGTCTCAACCTCCCAAGTAGATGGGAATACAGGCATGTGCTGCCATGCCCAGCTAATTTTTGTATTTTTGGTAGAGACAGGATCTCACCGTGTTGGCCAGGCTGGTCTCAAACTCCTGACCTCAGGTGATCAGCCTCCTCTTCCTCCCAAAGTGTTAGGATTACAGGCGTGAGCCACTGCGCCCAATAACCACTACTTTTTTTTTTTTTTTTTTTTTGAGAAGGATTCTGTTTAGGTTTTCTGCCTTCTACTGAGTCAATATTTATAAAGGATATATTCCTGGGAGCCATTTTACTTAGGCATAAAAGCAAATATTTGTTAAATTAATAACCTAAACACCGATGGTCAATAATTCAGTAAAAATGGTTTTATACGATCTGAAAAAAATAAGTGACAAGCCTAAGTGGACTGTAAAGATATGAGAGTTTAAGAACCCCAGTCTTGAGATGAGGCAATGATTCCAATACTGGTCATTGATACCCAAGGGAGGTTACTCCATGCATGCCTGCTCTATTCCTGGTCTCCCTGACATCACAGAGGAGCAAAACCCATCCCGGGATCGTGTGCCTGGAGCCAAATAATTTTTTTGGAAGAATCTACTTCTATGGACTTAGAAATTCATAGAAAAGATTTATGCAACAGCCATGTAGACAACTCACATTTCACACTAGATTTAAGTAACAACTTGAGAATATTATAAAATGGGGCTGGATTCAGGCTACATTATTATACCTGAAGAACTGGAAGGGGCGATTTGAAGAATTGTGTGAATGGCTTTGTGTGTGTCATGGAGTGTGTGTGTGTGTGTGTGTGTGTGTGTGTAAAACTGTCACCTGAGCCTGTAATGAAAAACATTTAAATGCTTAAAGATATGTTTCGGTTAAAAGAACTTCAGCATTTGCTCACCATTTTAGTAACTTCTGAACTTCTACTGGGATCGTATCATAAAATGTATGTAGTTTATTTTTGACAATGAACAAAGAAACCATATGAGTAAGTTGTTGTGGATTATTCAAAGAATTATCTCTCCAAAAACAAGGATGAGTGAAATTATTCTCAAACTGAAGTTTTGTCAGGTTAAGCTCCAAAATCCCTCGTGGGAAAAAACTCAGTTCATTCCCATCAACAGTCAGTTTTTCAAGTGATCTGTAAATAGAGGAAACCACAGTTTCAAAGGTATTAAAACAATTCATATTAAAGTAAAATCCTGCCTCAATTGTTCTTGAAAATTGGCATCAAACCTAGGAGCAATAAAATACAAGTGTGAATTTAAGTATTCCTTTAGGATCAAGAGAATTAATTTATAAAGCAATTAAACCAATACTCAAATGCAAATAAGTGCATTTGAGTGAACAGCACAGTTAAAGCATATATTTTGGATTTTTGCAATATGTCATCACTACGGAAAAAGAAATATCCACCAGCACAAGACTAATGAAGGTCATATTACCTAAAATATAGTATAATAATACACAGAACATATTTTTGTAGACAAATTAAACATCAACTCATATTTTTCCATTCAAGCCCAATCAAAAGAGTGAGATTTATACTATCAAAACAATTCATGTGCTATTTTGTGCTTTGACTTGTCATTAATTGAGTCCTCTGGGTTTTTTCTGTGTCAGTTCTAATAACCCTTATTCTTTATTCAAAGAGAACCAACATTACAGATTTTCTTATTTTCGCTTGCCTCAGTGGTATTTTTTTACCATCACTATTCTCCTTTCTAATTAGTCCTAGAAGCAGATAGAAAAGAGTCTGTTCATGAGGGATCTATAAAAATCAAACCAAAGGCTGGTCCAGCTTGTCAGATGCATTAGAGGTGAAAAAGCTGATATACAAACTTTAGGTAACAAACAGCTGAGGGCCTCTGGATTCTCATTTACTGTCTAGTTCCACAACTTATAGCCACACAGTGTAACTGGTTTATGACTCCTGATAACATTAAAATGTGATCAACGAGGGTATTTAAAACAATGAGGCTAGGAAGAGACCTCAGCTCTCTTCATCCCTCAACCAGAGTTGGACTAATTCACCTGTCATGGTCTGAAAAAGGTGAGCAAGACCCTGTGCTCTGCCACAGTCCTGAATGAGAAAGCTGACATGGCCACCTTTTTCTTCTGCACAGAGCCTAGGGGCCAGCAGCAGAAAGCCCTGCTATGGTCTGAATGTTTGTTTCCCCAAAAATTAGAATGTTGAAATCTTCACCCTCAGTTGATGGTATTTGGAGGTGGGGCCTTAGGAGGTGACTGGTCAGGGCAGAGGCCCTCATGAGTGGCATTGGTGCCCTTGTAAAAGTGACTTGAGAGACAGCTCCCTCCTTCTTCCACGTGAGGTTAGAGTGAGATGGCTGTCTATGAGGCACTGGGCCCTCACCAGACACCAAATCTGCTGGGGCCTTGATACTGGACTTCCCAGGCTGTGGGAAATAAATTTCTGTTTTTTACAGCCACCCAGCCTATGGCATTTTGTCATAGTAGCCCAAGCTGACAAATGCAAACTCTATGTGGACACTCAGAATGAGCGTGGCACACTCTAGGCAAATATTAGCCATGGTGAGGCTCTTCCTGCCTGAGCTGGTTCACCTTGGAGGGCACACCCATTTGGCTTCCTCCTTCCCATCAATGAATTCTAAGGGAGCTAGGCAGGCTAAATTATCTTTTTTCTTTTCTTCTTCTTTTTTTTTTTTTGAGATGGAGTCTCACTCTCTTGCCTCGGCTGGAGTGAAATGGCCCCATCTTGGCTGACTGAAACCTCTGCCCTCAGATTCAAGTGTTTCTCCTGCCTCAGTCTCCCACGTAGCTGGGATTACAGGCACTGGCCACCATCCCAGCTAATTTTTGTATTTTTAGTAGAGATGGGGTTTCCCCATGTTGGCCAGGCTGGTCTTGAACTCCTGACCTCAGGTGATCCACCCACTTCGGCCTCCCAAAGTTCTAGGATTACAGGTGTGAGCCACTGTGCCTGGCTGCTAAATCATCTTTAAAGCTAGAATAGTACTGTGTTGAGACTGCCTTGGCAGCTGAGCACCCTGGGGTGCAGAGAAACTTCCTTCCGGTCCACTACTCACTTTCTTAGCATTCTGAGTGGTGTTCTGTGACTGCCATTGGGCTTGCGTGAAAGAAAGAGTGGCGAGAAGGGAAAAATCACATAGAACGCACAGAACAAAGGTCCTGGGACAAGCAGCTTCTGTGGAGGGATGGATAGAAAACCGTGGTTAGGGGTGGGAAAACAAGATTCGAATACAGCACACACAGATACACAGAGATGTTCTGGAACAAAAATGCATGGTTTGCAAAACTAAAAAGTTAAGTGGATGAATGAAAGAACATGGTCTTCATGGGGATCCAGATTAGAGGCAAAGACAAACTAGAAAAATATTTCAAAACAAAGAAACAAAAATATAAAGAAAAACCGTGAAGAAAAATCTAGGTACCATGGAAGACAGATCTAGGAGGCCTAACATGTAAATAATAGGCATTTTAGGAAGAAAATATGAAAGAGATGGAGAAGGAAAGGAAATATTTAAACATATTTTCTTAACCAGAAAAGAGAAGTTTGTGCTGACTGATTAAAAGAGTTCACAGAATTCCAGGAAAGACAAGTTAAAACACACACACACACACACACACACACACACACACAGACACACACACGTAAGCATAATCTGATAAAATTCTGAAAGGTCAAAGATTATGGGAGAATCTTAGTCCTTCCAGTTAAGAATAAAAGTCACTTAGGAAGAAAAAAGAATTAAACTGGCATCAGGTGCCTCCCCCGCAACCCCGGAAACTAGAGGAAGACACATGATGGAGACTCCTGTGAAACATGCTAACTGCAAGCTTGTCCACTCACTCAGGGCAGCATTTATTTGTCAGGGTTAAAGAATCAGAGAAAAAATTACCTATGTATGCCATCTGAGGAAAATACTATAGGAAAAACTCTAAACAGCCAACGAATCAAAAGAGACATCACCAGGTTCCAGATGAGAGGAAAGGAGCGAAAACAGCTGTAAACAATGAATCTTGAAATGCATACAGATAAATAGAAAAGGAGAATGAACTAAAATGCTGGTAAGATTTGAGTGCTAAGTAAGCATTCTTTAATAAAAAGAGACATGATGCAAAGGAAAATACGAATGAGAATCTGAAACAAAAGTTTCTAAACTATTTTAGCAAAGCCTAGAGTTAGATAAGGGGAAGATGAGTTTGGGGAAAAAGTGGGAAAATAACAGTGTTCTGAAGGTCTCAACAAACAGTGGAAGGCAGCAGTGGGGAGACAGACCTTCATGGGCCGGGAAGTAGTTTTTATTTTGCCTTTATAAAATATTAAAGAAAATGTGATTGGTTATGAGTAGAAAAGATAGCCATTAACAGATTAGGGAGGTACAATAGAAAGCCAAAATTAATAAGGTAGAAAAAAACAGGTGGCAGGACCACTTGAGGCCAGGAGTTTGAGACCAGCCTGGCCAACATAGTGAGACCCCGTCTCTACAAAAAAAACTGAAAAAAATAGCTAAGCATAGTGGTTTGCAGCTGTAGTCCCAGCTATTCAGGAGGCTAAGGCAGGAGACTTGTGTGAGTACCGGAGTTCAAGGCTGTGGTGAGCTATGATTGTGCCACTGGACTCCTGTCTGGGCAACAGAGTGAGCTCCTGTCTCAAAAAAATAAAAATGAAATAAATTCAAAAATTTAAAAAGAGAGGAAACAGCATATTAATAAGTAAGAAAAAGCAAAAGTAAATAAATAGTAAGTACGAAGTAAAATGAAAGAAAAAAATATGTTGGTCATAACAAGTACGAATACGCTGAATTCTACTAAAATATAGGGATTGTCACATTGGAAATTAAGTAATTGATTTATATATTTAAAAAGCAGAGATAAAATTATCTCATTCTACTAAACGCAAAATTATGTTCCTAGGAAACAAAATAAAATGCAGTAAAACTAATCAGAACTAACAGGAGAACTCGGTTACATACATTAGTTTTAAGGTAATGTAAAGAAGTACATAGCTTTTCTCTATTCTGTACTGACAACAGAAACAAATGAAATAAGAGAAATAGTACCTTACATTGACAGTAACAACCACTATTATAAAACACCTAGAAAAGGTTATTAAGAAAAATATGAAATGAGTTATAAATTCTTATGAAGAACATAAAACAAGATCTGAAAAAAATTTAAAAAAAGTTTTAGAGTGGAAAAATTTATCATCAAAAATATAAATTCTCCCAAATTGATGAGTAAACTCTAGGCAATTACAATTAAAATTTGAACTTTGTGATTATGTGTGTTGCTGGATGTGCTAGAAATTATACAAAATGATCTTAAAGATTATGCTCTAAAGAGAATAGTTAAGAGATTATTACTGAAAAATAATCTCCCTGCTAGTCATTAAAAATTATTCTGAAGTCACAATCAAAACAGTATGGTATTGACATAGAAGGACACAGATGAACTTCAGACTTCTTTTAATGTGAGAAAGAATTGAAGCTTTGCATTAAAATTATATTTTGTAGTATTAGCATTTTGTGTATATGTATTTCCTTACAAAAAGTTAACGAAACAAATAACAGCCACAGGTACATACACAGACAAATGGACATAAATAGCTTATCATTCTGTAAGTAGTCATCTGTACTGTTCCTTAAATAATTCCTGGAAACAGTGTACACCGATCATTAAAAATATTATACACCAGGCCGGGTGCGGTGGCTCACGCCTGTAATCCCAGCACTTTGGGAGGCTGAGGCGGGTGGATCACGAGGTCAAGAGATCGAGACCATCCTGGTCAACATGGTGAAACCCCGTCTCTACTAAAAATACAAAAATTAGCTGGGCACGGTGGCGCGTGCCTGTAATCCCAGCTACTCAGGAGGCTGAGGCAGGAGAATTGCCTGAACCCAGGAGGCGGAGGTTGCGGTGAGCCGAGATCGTGCCATTGCACTCCAGCCTGGGTAACGAGCGAAACTCAGTCTCAGAAAAAAATATATATATATATATTATACACCAATCATTCAAGTTACATGTTTGGCAAACGTTGCATTTTACAGATTACACTTTATGGCTATTAAATAAATGAAATGACTCAATTTTCTTTATCACAATCATTATTAAATATATAAGTAAGGGGCATATATCTTTCTATATACTTCCAAAATACCTGAGTTTCTGGATTTCATTTGGAATAAAAGTAAGTTCATTGTAGGAAACATCAAGTTCTTCAAGAAAAGACAAGGAAAATAACCTTAAATAGGAAGAGAAAATTAATTGTAGAAAGATGATGTATCATCACTTGGAATAAATTAGTACGTGAGTAAGTAGGCAGAAATATAGAAACCAGATTGCTAAGATCCTAATTTATATTCTTTTCATTGCAGATGGCATAATTACCATGAAAGTTCCTAAGAATTACTCATCTATCCATCAAGACTGGTTTGAAATTTTTGGAGTAGACAAAGCCCTATGTAGAAAAAGTCCCCTGAGAAATTTTCATTATCATTAAGATACTTTTTTTTTTGGTTGTTGCATGCGTTTCCTAGAGATGACATAACAAATTACCAAATCTGGGTGGCTTAAAGTAACTGAAATTTATTTTCTCACAGTTCAGGGGGCCAGAAGTCCAAAATCAAAGTGTTAGCAGGGTTGGTTCCCTTGGGAGGCTCTGAGGGAGAAACTGTCCCTTGCTTCTCCCCAGCTCCCAGTGGTTGCCTGCGATCTTTGGCATTCCTTGGCTTGTGGCAGAACAACTCCAGCCTCTGCCTTTGTCTTCACATGCCTTTCTTACAGGGACAATAGCCACTGAATTTGGGGCCCACCCTTCTCCAAGTTAGTATAAAAATGACCTGAGATTAACTAACCGTATCTGCAAAGACCCTCTCTCCAAATATGGTCACATTGAAGTTCTATACAGACATCAATTTCTGAGGGACGCTATTCAACCCACTACAGTTGCATTAAGACTTTCCTAGTAAAATACCTTTGATTTTTCTTTCCATCAAGATAAGTACTTAAAGGGAAGAACCAAAGAATAGAAACACCCGGTAAAATATAGTTGTGCCGTCACAAGCCCTGATTCCTTGGGGATGAAAGTGGGAATTGCTTCCTGAAGACTGGAATTGAAGGGCTCAGTATCATAGTCTCCATAATCCCTTGTAAACACCCCCTTCTCTGTGGATGCTGTTCTCAGAGACTTTCTTGTTTTCCATATAAATAAAAGATGAAAAGTTATTTGTGTGATTCTTAACAAAAGCATGATGAGCAGAATTTTACACTAACTTCTGACTCTCCTAGCGTGGCATATAAAGGTCCTCATGATCTGGTCCCATGCTGCTTGTCCAGCTCACCTCTCACCAACCTCCATATTCCTCTGTGGTCCAGCATTTATTTGCTACAATTCCCTGAATTAACCAGTTATCACCGATCTCTAAATAACACATGCGATCCCCCCCAGCTTGACTCTTTGATCATTGTCTTTTTATCTTTTGTCTTGGCTCAGATATCATCTCTTCCCACAACCTCTTCCCAAATTCTTCAGACTGGGCGAGATGCCTCTTCTGTACTTCTCTGCTTACTCTCTCATAGCACCCAGCACATTGTGCAATAAACATCTGCCCCTAAAATTATGAGCTTCTAGAAGCCATGGATTCAATTTTATGTTTCTATATATCCAATGCATTGCATAGTGTCTAGTACATTCTAAGTGCTGAGAAAATCATAACTGAATGAAAGGAATGGTAATAATTTGCTCTGAGAAGTTAATGAGATTGACTAGGAAAACAAAAGAGATGCCTTTTCAATTAGATGTTCATCTCTGACTTCCTATCATCTGTGTAAAGAAAACGTTAATACCATTGGCTCTAGCTTTCAGTTCAATATCATATCATTTTCTTGCCTCGGGCAGTTTCTGGAGTCACTCTGTGTTTCCTTATTACTTTGGCACTGGCCGTCTAGTCTGGTTCCAGGCCTTCACCGTGGATGACGCATCCCTGCTGATTGTGAGATGTAACAGGTGTGGGCAGCATTGAGGTCGCTGAATGCAAAGCTGCATAGGTTCTAGAGTTGAAATTTATGTCAGCTATATATGATTTTATAGAAGAAATCTGTTCAGACAGCCTCAGTTTCATCTGCCCCACCAGTACCAAATCCATCACATTTTTTAGGATATGTAAAACTTTTTACATTTATTTCATTGCCTTTTTATTAGCATATTACTGGCCAGTGAGCTGCCTAGAGCCCTACTGTTAGCTTGCAAGATTAGACTAGCATTAATAATTTCATGTATTAACAGCGATGCCCACCACACTGATATAAATGTCATTTATTAAAAGCATACTATAAGGCAATTTAGAATAATCATTTACTATACCAATGTAGGGGTTTGGTTGTTTTTTTTTTTTTACAGATTAAAAAATGGAAGCTCTAAGAGATTAAGCAATTTATCCAATTTGGTATGAAATAAAATGTAGCTATCCCTTTTCATCAGAATGTAGAAGCAAGGTAATTTAATCCTCTTCTTTAACAAACAGCAGTATGGGGAAATAAATGTGTACAATTTCAGAATCAGCTCTTCAGACAGGACATTCAAGTAGGCTGTTAGGTTTTTTGTTCCAAATAGTTTCTCTTTCCCAAAGAACCTACCTGCCAATTAAAGCAAATTAGTCAAACAGGTAAGGCAAGGATTTGACTCTGTTGGTTAAAGTAGCTATTTTCTGTCATTTTTCTCCTGCTATCCACTGAGCAAAAGATAAAGACTTTCTGTTTTAACCTTTGTGACAGTTGCTTCTGCATAACCTCAGGGCATGAGGCTAAAACACGTCTCTGTCCTTTACTTTTCTTCACCCCACCTCCCTTTTTCTGCCTTTTTCATCTTTTCTACCCAAAAGCTTCGGGAAGAGAAAAAAATATGGAATTTTAAAGTGATTTATTATCTTCATTTTATAAGACAGTTGAAAAGACAAATCAAAGAGCTTTTCATAAAGTTCTAAGCGTAACATGGGAGTGTGAATCCACTGGCTACCAATAGGAGGCCCCTGTTCTTTCTCTCACAGAGGCTGCCTCCAGGCTGCCCCACAGGATATGCCCTAAACTGCTCAAAGCCAAACCTTAGGAACAGAAATGTCCGCCTCAGTAAATGAGTGCTTTACTCAAATAGAATTTTTCTTTCTTTACTAACTTCTAATTTCCCTACATTGAAACCATCAATTGCTACATCATTTCAAAAATATTGCATATTTTATTTTATTTTAGAAAATTAGGTCAAGGAAAAGAGACCAAATCTGTGAAAATAATTGAAAGGATTTAAAAAATAATTTATAAGATTTTCCTATTTAATTTTTGTAACATCCTTGAAGACAAGTGTAAGTTTTCTAAACTTTCAGATGGAAACTGAAGTTAAGAGTAGGTCAGTGGCTTCCCAGAGTTTACAGCATATAAGGGGCCAGAGGTTGCCTCTGAAAGTGTCTTGCTTTCTCTACTTTATCATTTTGAGTCTCATGAAACTAGAAAGAGCTTGTTAGGAATGGAAAGATAATAGGGAAAGTGCTCCTTTATACTTTTAGTAAAACTTTCGAGAAGGTACCAAAATAATGTATCTGGGGAAAAAATGTATATATTTTAACATATGGAACCTATAAGAAAAAGTTAATTGATGATGAAGAGAATTAAAAGACAGTCTTCTAAGTACAGTGCTTACCCACCAGAATAAAAAGCATTTTTCTATGTCAGGTAATGTGCAGGAAAAAACATGTATCTCAATTTAAACCCTAACGCTATGGCTTCAAACAAATTGAGTTTGCTTCAAACATTTGCTTTATTTAATAAAACACATATTTAATAATATGCTGACTGTCTCCTCCTGTGGGAATTGTGATCTCCACCGGAGTTGAAATCTTTGGTTTCATATACTGCTGTAACAAATTGCGACACAAACTTGGTGGCTACAACACAGATTTATTATAGTTATGCAGGTTGGAAGTCTGCGCCGGTCTCACTCGACTAAAATTAAGGCATCAGCAGGACTGCATTCGCATCTGGAGGCTCTAGGGAGAATCTGCTTCCTTACTCATACAGGTTGTAGGAGAATTCCGTTCTTTCTGGCTGTAGAACTAAGGCCCTTGTTTTCTTGCTGGCTATACACTGAAGGCCATTCCCAGGTTTTGCAAGCTGCCTCATTCCTTGACTGACGGCTCCCTTCCTCCATCCTCAAAAACAACGAAATCAAGTCACGTCCTCAGGCGGTATCTCTCTGACAAATACTTCTGCATCCCTCTTCCATTTTTAAGAGGATTCTAATCCAGAGAAAAGGAAAGGTCAAGAGGAATTACCAGTCCCAAGCAATACAGCTGAGTAACTTCATTTGGTTTCAAGGCGTGGGAATTAGCAGCAGCAGCTCACAACTCCGCTGCCTGCTTTCCAGTTTCTGCCCTCCTGGCTCCTGGCTCTGTCTTTTGGAATCACAGCTCCACCTTCTGTGTTCCTGGCTCCACCCTCTGAATCATCCTCCCTTTTTCATGAAAGTTGGCACACGTATTCAGCTGTTTCCTGCCCATAGAATTTGGGGGAATCTGACAGCCTTTTTCATTTCATGTCCTGTCTTTGTCCTTCTTGATACACTCTGGCAACATTTCTGTTAGTACAAAATGTTCCAGAACTTAGTGGGTTTCCCATGTATATCATGGGTATTCATTCCATAAGACAAAAGACTTGTCCACAGATTTGTTCCTAGTTAATCCAATTTCTATTTTTGACTTTGCTGAAATGGCTGAGGCCATATGCCATGAGGTCATCATTAAAAAGGAATGGAATACTGATATATACAACGTGGGTGAATCCCCAAAATTTCTGTTGTGTGAAAGATGTCAGACTAAAAAAAATTATTTGTTGTATCAATCAACTTTTAGAATTTTCCAGAACAGGAAAACAAAGCTATGATGTTAGAAGTCTGGGAATGGGTAAACTTTCCAGGATAATGGGAATGCCCCATATATTCTTTTCAATAGTAGTTATAAGGGTGCGTATATTTGTTAAATACTTCAAATCAAATACCTAAGATTTGTGCATGTTATTGTATATAAATTATACCTAAAAATTTTAGAAAAAAGAGAGACTAGGAAGAAAGATGAAAAAATTGAGGGTACTAATAACTATAAATATATATTTTTGAGACAGGATCTCACTGTTGCCTACAGCTCACTGCAGCCTCAACCTCCCAGGCTCAGGTGATCCTCCCACCTTAGCCTTCCACACAGCTGGGACTACAGACATGCCACTATGCACAGCTAATATTTTGTATTTTTTGTAGACTTGGGGTTTTACCATGTTGCCCAGGTTCTATGTAATTTTTGTTATGGTGAAATGTATATAACATAAAATTTGACATTTTAACCATTATTAAGGGTGCCATTCAGTAGCATTAGTAACAGTATTATGCAACAATCAGCACTATCTGTATTTCCAGAACTTTCCCATCATTCCAAACAGAAACTCTATATCCATTGAACAACTGCTCCCAATTCCCCGCTTCTCTGCTACACGCAATCCCCTGGTAACCTTTATTCCACTTTCTGTCTCTGTAAATTTGTCTCTTCTATGTACCTTATATAAGCAAAATCATACAATGTTTATCCTTTTGTATCTGACTTATTCCACCTAGTGTAATGTTTTCAAGGCTCATTGTTGTTATAGCGTGTACTAGCATTGCATTCTGTTTTCAGGATGAATAATAGTCTATATATGTAGACATTATATTTTATTCATTCATTAGTCTGTTAATGGACGTTTGAGCTGTTACCACCTTTTGGTTATTGCGAAGAAAAACAATTAGGTTTTCCAGTGTTTTGTTGATGAACATTTGAATTGCTGACTTTTTTAGAATATTGTAGATAAAACTGCTATGGACATTCCCAGAGAAATCTTTTTATAGAGGCTAAAATCTACCTTCTCCATCTTATACCTGAGTGACCGAGCTACTGAAGATAATCAGCAGAAATGCAGATTAGTGTTACTATGAATCCTTGGTGTCCAGTCTCAGCTAAGCCCAGAGCATTGTCTCTCAAACATCTACTTTTCTGTGCTCTGCTCTTTTCCATTCCTCTCAATATCAAAACTAAATCATCATAATTTTCTTTAAAACTTTTCAGTCACTATTCTTCTTGCTCTCAAAGATTATCTGAAGTCATTTCATAGTAATCTCTCAACTGATGCATGATAGGAGCTAAATCAATGTTTGT